CGGTTGCAGGGCTGAAGCGCCGGCCGGGCTGCTCCGGCGCGGTGCCTTTCGAGAAAGGACGCCAGGGTCGATTCTGCCCAGGGACGCTTGCTCAGACCCCAAGTGCAGTCGTGAAAGCTGAAGTTTCCCATCAGGCCGACTGGCAGCCAGTACTGGCTCTGCCACGTACCGTGGGCACATTATTCAGCCACTGGGATCACAGTTCCCTCGTGCGGATCAGGACGCAAAGCTACCTGCCGCAAAGGGCTGGCGTGCAGGCTGAAGGCGACGGTTTGCATAAAGCGAGCGTCTCTGTGCCTCGCGCAGTTGGTGTCGGCCTTATTAGTTCCCCTTCTCCTCTTAAGTCACTTAATGTAAATGCATTGCGACCCAAATGCCACCTGGTGCCCTCCTGCCTCTTTGGTGTCGATGTGTACACGGCTCTGTTCCCAGCCAATCCCACGCTCTGTGAAAGTCAAAGCCCTCCTCGCTGCGTTTGTGCCGATAGCGGGGGGCTCATGCTCTGACCCCTGCTGTTCACGTGCGGTCTCTGTGTCTCCCTGCGGCCATTTGGAGGTAAAATTCACCGACTGGTTTGCACGAGACATCCACTCACAGAAAGCAAAATTCGTGAATCGAGCAGGCTTGACTGTCAGTTTGGGGGACCGGAGGCAGGGCCACACCCAGCACACAGCTTTCTCTCTCTGTCCCTCTAATCTGGGGGTCCTCATGCAGTAGCCTGCATCGGAATCACCTGGGGTGGTGGTGGTGGTTAAAACACAGATCCCAGGATTTCCGATTCAGCAGATCAGGGATGCGGCCCAAGAATGTGCGTTTCTACTAGTTCCCAGGTGATTCTGATACTGCTGGTCCAAGGACCACACTTTGAGGGCCGCTGCTGTGATCTCCCTTCTGCCCGCCTCTGTTCCTCCTCTGCTCCCCGCTGGATTGCCCCGGGCCTCCAAAATCTGCCCCCTCCATTATGCTGAACTCTCCCCAGCTGCTATCCGCAAACTCCCTGCCCAGATCAATCCCGGACCCTGCATTTAATAGGATTCAGCCTTTTTAGAGGGCAATTGGGATTTTAAACATATAATCTGTAATTGCGTTTGTTTCAGTGTGGCAGTCTCTGTGTGAAATTGAGCCACTGGAGTTCCCATTTGGGCTCAGTGCGAGTCAGGTGAGCTTCGAGTGATCCCAAGCCAGGGCCCACGTCTGTGTCACGGGTCTACACAAAGGCATGCTTCTCCGAGTTGGGGTCTGGGGCTAATCAGTGGAAAGTTCTGGGGCTGGGGGTGGGAGTGGGGGCTGGGGGCTGGGCTGTTGGGCCGCAGCTGTGGCTCCAAATTGCTCTGAGGCCACTGCCTGGTCCACGTTCCCCCGGCAGGGACTGACATCAAACAAATGGGCCCTGATGCGTTAAGTGGGGAGGGGGAGGCTGCCACGGCCCTTTCTCCGCCTTTCGCCACCTAATCTGAAATGTGCACCAGGACGGGCTGCCTTGATGAGAAGGGCTTTAACTAATTCCCAGATCCCAGCCCTTTGTGGGCAGCTGGGCAAGAGGGGCCACGGCCTTCACTCTTAATAAAGATTGGAAGATGACTTGTCCCCTCCCCACCGGCCCTGCTAATCCAACTCCAAGCCAGAGATTAGCATTTCTAATGGGCTGGGAGGCACAGCCCTCGGGAGACAGGGATGAGGGATGACAGATATTCCCGGGGTCTCCGGGGGCCCTGAATAGAGGCAGTCGCTTTGTCTGGCCTCTGCTGGATCCGGGCTGGCTTTCTTCAAACAGGGCACTCACTTCCTCTCCCCACTTCTGGCCCCTTGAGTGGGGGCTCCTGCTCTAAACCCTGGGCCAGTGGACCCCTCCCGATGTCATGTCCAAGCCCTATATCCAGATATCCAATATCCAAAGATGATATGAAAACCTTGAATTCACCTAGCCGCTTCTTTCAAAGGATTGGTTGTCTCGTTCATTCATTCATATTCATTCATTTTGTCCTTTGGTTGGCACTTGCTGTGTGCCAATTGCAGAGCTGAAAGATGCAGAGATGGAAAACTGATGTCTTGTACTCAGGTGTTCACAATTTAGTAAAACAATAGACCATAGGCTGGGCGCGGTGGCTCATGCTTGTTGTAATGCTAGCACTTTGGGAGGCCGAGGCGGGAGGATCGCTTGAGGTCAGGAGTTCGAGACCAGCCTGAGCAAGAGGGAGGCTCCATTGCTACTCAAAACAGGAAAATTAGCCAGGTGCAGTGGTGCCAGCGAGCCTGCAGTCCCAGCTACTTGGGAGGCTGAGGCAGGAGGATGGTGTGAGTCTGGGAACTTGAGGTTGCAGTGAGCTATGATCATGCCACTGCACTCTAGCCAGGGGATAGAGCAAGACTCTGTCTTAAACAAAAAAAGAGGACAATAAATGTCATATGCCAAACCTCATGAGACATAGGTGCTTCAGGGACACAGCAAGGGGATCTAAATCAGACTGTGCAAATGTATATGTGTGTGGGCGTGTGTGCGCGCACATGCAAGGGTGTCAGGGAAGACGGTGGCACTTGAGCTGCCTTCAAGGAGTCTAAGAGGAATGGTCTATGAAGAGAAAGGGGTTAGAGGGGCTTGGAATGGGAAAGTACAGAGTCTGGAATCAGGAGCTGCAGGAACCTCAACCCCAGTGATTATGAATTATCCAGAAGGGTGTGTGTGAAAGGTGAAGAGGAGAATGTTCCAAGCAGACCCACCTTTGGGCCATAATTTGTTCATGGAACCCACGTTTATTGAGCCCTTTGCCCAGGACACTCTGACATTGCTTTTGTTTACTTGACTTTTTTTTTTTTTTTTTTTGAGACAGAGTCTCACTTTGTTGCGCCCAGGCTAGAGTGAGTGCCATGGCGTCAGCCTAGCTCACAGCAACCTCAAACTCCTGGGCTCAAGCAATCCTCCTGCCTCAGCCTCCCGAGTAGCTGGGACTACAGGCATGCGCCACCATGCCCAGCTAATTTTTTCTATGTATATTAGTTGGCCAATTAATTTCTTTCTATTTATAGTAGAGACGGGGGTCTTGCTCTTGCTCAGGCTGCTCTCGAACCCCTGACCTCCAGCCATCCGCCCGCCTTGGCCTCCCAGAGTGCTAGGATTACAGGCGTGAGCCACCACGCCCGGCCTTGTTTACTTGACTCTTGTCTCCCGTGACAGTCTGAACTTCCTGAGGACTAGAATTCAATCCTGCTGCTTATGTCATTAATTGACACAGAGTAAGTTATTAATACGTTTTTTTTTTAAATTGAATCGAACTTAAAAAACCTGGGGAATGTGAGAATTTTTGCATGTCAGAGGAGTTGGAAATAGCTAGGATGGCTAAAATTTAGGGTGCATTTGGAGAGTGGAGAAAAATGAGGCTGGAGAGGTGTGAGGGTCAGACCACCAAAGGTCTAACCTGCCAAACCCTGGAGTTTAGATTTTTTTATCCTGTTATAGCAAATGAAGGTTTCAAGGGAACTACATGATCAGATTTACATTTTAGAAGATCCCTCTGGCTGCAGTTCATGGGGAGCAGACACAGGTGGCAAGGACGCTGTCAACTGAAGCCACAAGGGCTTGGACTGGGGATGAGACAGTGCAAACGGACGTGAGGGGTGAGTCACAGAGGACAGCCTATGAACTTGAGAGCCTCGAGCAAGGACCTTCCTAATATTCCAAGGAGCAGGCAGGGAGGTTCAGAGGTGTTGTGAGATACCCTCGACAATGTGGGAGGGACCAGACCTGGAACTAAGGTCTCATTTGGATCTAATGAAGCGATAACCCCTCCGGGCAGCGATCTGCTCTGAGGACTTTGGAGGGGAGAGTAAGCACAGGTGGGCCAGGTAGTTTCCTGGTGATGCTTTGTCCGAGAGCATTGGGTCCGCGTCTTCCGGAATCCTTTTGTCCTTATTTCGCTCTAGTGCCTGTCAACTGCCAGCTAACTGCAACTGTCCACAGGAGCAGAACTGCCTCCCAGCCCTGCCTTCTCCCCAACCCCCACAGCCCCCTTGAGGAAAGGGAGGGGGTTACGATGTCTGGGGGTCCCTCACAACCCACCTTGCCTGGGCGATGCTGCTCTTCGTCCAGTGCTCGGCGGGAGTCGGCACCACCGTGGGCGGAAGTGTCGGGAGGCATGGTGCCCGTGAGCATTGGTCCTGGGCCACCACGGCCTCTCTGTCTCTCGTCCTTTCCTCTTTGCTTGTTGACCGAGATTCCTTCGAGCCGACTGAGGAGGGTTGTGGTTTGCAGTAAGCAGTTTTAGTCATTCTTTCAACACTATTCAATGTCTGTTTTGCTCCAGGCACAATGCTGGTCGGATGCTAACGTTCTATCTAAGCACAAGGGGTGCAGTGAGGGGCTGGGACTCGGGGTGCCATCGAAGATTTCTCTCCTCCCAACCTCTCCAACATGGCACTCTTATTTTTTTGGAGACAGAGTCTTGCTTTGTTGCTCGGGCTAGAGTGCCATGGCATCAGCCTAGCTCACAGAGACCTCAAACTCCTGGGCTCAAGTGATCCTCCTGCCTCAGCCTCCCGAGTAGCTGGGACTACAGATGTGCACCACTACCACTCAGGTAATTTTTTCTATTTTTAGTAGAGATGGAGTCTTGCTCTTGCTCAGGCTGGTCTCGAACTCCTGACCTCAGCACTCTGGGAGGCCAAGGTGGGAGAGTCACCTAGGATTATAGGCCTGAGGACTGCACCCGGCTGGAACATGGCACTTTTTAAACGTTGCATGTGCACACACATCACATTGAATTGGAGGGTGCCTCCGTGACTGTACACATTCCTATACCCGTCACTCTATGTTTAAAATACAAATTATGCAAACGAGTCTTCCAGAATAAGACCACTTCTACGTGGTGGCTGGGAGGGCAGAATTCCATTAAGCGTGTGCTGTCTGGCGCCCACGAAAAGCCCTTTGATTCACTTCCACCTTTAACCCCATGACATCCCTTTCCCACCCATTAACCAAGCAAAATGAACAGGTCGCATGGCCCGGGTCCATTTTGAACAACTTTTATTATACGTTTAGTGTTCTCTATACAAAAGAAATCAGTTTTTTTTTTTTTTCTTTTTTACAGTGATTTCAAAAAAAATTCTGAATAATTTGGCCTTTTCATTGCTCATGCAGTCAGTTTATAAGTCCATGTATTAGACGGTCCTCCACGGCCCAGACGTCTTCCCTGCTGAAGGTCGTGCGTGACACCCTCAGATAGCGCACCTGTCACTGATGAAGTTGGTTAATGCAAAATAACTCACAAAGAGGGAAGGACACGGTGTGAGAGGGGTTAAAGCAAGGGCTGCCATGGAGAGTTAGATGTTTAACCAGTGGGAAGCAGATCAGACCAATTTGCGGGTGTGCGGGAGGGACAGAGACACTGGGAAAAGTATTTTTCCCAGGACAAGAACAAATTGGACTGGCGGGAGATAATGTGTGTGTGGTGGTGGGACCAGAACAGAAGGTGGCCACGTTGCAGGTGACCGACACTCAGCTCAGGAGGAGCAGGGGGACGACACTGAGGACATTGCAATGGGGAACTAGAATAAAAGAGCAGGTCAGAGCAGCATCTGATCTGCGTCGCTTTTTGAAAAAGAAACTAGTGCACAAAATTCTGGGTATTGTCTCCCAGAGTTTTGTGTTTATTGCTTCACTGAAGTCTTTACACCTGCTGAACCCCCGCCCTGCAAAGCCCAGGGTGGCAGGCTTGCCCCCCAGGGCAGAAGGGACAGAGACCCCCCCCCCCCCCCCCCCGTCTGACCTCGATTCCAAGGAGCGCGGAAGGCCTGGCGTGTGACAAATGCAAGCGACACCTTTCCCGGGGAGGGAGGGGCGGGTACGGTCTAGGTTTCACAGTAACAAATGCCAGTCAGCTTGTCACTCTCTTCCGCTGGCCCGGGTCTGCCCTTCACTGCACAGCTGGGTTAGCCACAGCCCGTTAGACGGAACGATCTGGGACTCAGAAAAATCCCGTTTTGTCTTTCCTTTTGGGGGGGGGGAGAAGCTGGCAGGACGGATCTTAAGTAACACCTCTGTTTCGAAGCAGGCAGCTGTGGTGAGATGAAAGACACTGGACAAGGAGTCAGAAGGCCCAAGCTCAAGCCCTGTAACCCTACCTCCACTTACCAGCTGTGTGACCTTGAGCAAGTCCCCTACCCCCCCCTGGATTTTTACCACGTCCATGCAGTAAGTCATTTCCATTAGATCAGCTCTGCGATCCCTTCACGTGCCGAGTCTGATTCTGTCCTAAGCTAGACGCCTTTGGACCTGTTTCGTCTCCATCCTTATCCTCGTGGAGTACTCACTTAATACTCATATACTGATGAGAGGAACGTTGGTTTGGGTGTGGCTTTCCCTCTGGTCCTCCTCCGAACGTGTCTCAGGAAGGCCTGTTCTCTTAGCAGCGGGGGGAAGAGAAAAGGGCATTTCCCTGGGTGTGGGCTGTGCAGGATGGGGACAGCCCCAGGGTGTGGTTTGAATTCACAGGGGGTGACCCTGTCCAGGTCAGGGAGGGGCTGCCCCGGAGGTGGGGCTCTGCCTGTGTACCCCAGGGTCTGAGTCTTCTCCTGACATTTCAAGCTCTTTGCTTCACGTCCTATTTTTCTTTTTAAAATCAGGGACCTCCTACATGCTACTCCTCAGCCACTGTGCAAAGCCCAAGCATGACGTTCTACTCAATGGGTGGACCGAACCGCAAGCATGGGCTTGTGTGCGTTTGGCAGGGGCCGGGCAGGAGGCCCCTCTACGCCAACATGTCACGAGTAGGGGGCGGTGTCCTCTGCCAGCACCCCAGGAACCTGCTGCCCTCCTGCTGGCACGTGACAGCCGACAGAAAGGCTGAGAATCTTCTCCTCCTCAGAGGGTCAGCAAGGCAGCCTCACACGGCTGAGACAAGAACATGCAAAATCCAACTCCTTCCATCAACGGGCTGTTGGTGACACCCTAAGACCCCACCTTGCTCCAGGAGGGGCTGGAAAGGGCCTGTGCCGTGCCTGGGGGACAGCTTCCCTCTGCGTGGACTGGCTTCTCCCCCTCCTACAAGCCAGGCACCCACACACGGCCCTCTGCATCTCGTCTCACAGGGGCCTGCGTGTGGACCAGCCCCCTCTAAGACAGTCATCGTCACCTCTTGCAAGTACTGCACTGCAACAGGGCTGCCGTGTGCTGCAGGTGGCATGCCCGGGCGCTGGGTTCGGCAGGGGAGCTCGTCCTTTACTGGAGAACCCAGAAGCATCCCCAGGTCTGTTTCCACCCTTCCTAAGGCTCACCATGGTCAGGGAAACCATGCATGCACTCTCTGGGCCCCGGTTACAGACGTACCTTGCAGGGCAAGTATGGTTGGCCCTGGCTGACTTTCGGACATGTGGTCACTTCTCCAGACCTAGGGACTGGCCGGGAAGGGTGTGGACCAGATGTCTCCAATCTCTCGGGGAAGAGGAGATGGGCAAGGAAGGCAGCCATTCTAGCCTGCCCTTTAGCTCAAGTCCAACCCACTCCTCAACGGCAAGGTAGAGAAAGATGGGTCCCACCTGCTGTAACCCCTGCAACAGTGTCCTTCCCACACCCTCAGGTGGGCTCTTGCCCTCTGCGGGGAGAGCTATTTAAAGGAGGGACTGAACAGGGGAGACAGAGGCATAAAAATACGGACAGGTTACGCAGCTTGCCCCAAGGGGCAAAGCAAAGAGGCTCAGGAAACAGGGCGCTTCTCAACCCCACCCTGTGGTTCCAACTGCCCTGTCCCGGAGGACCAAGCTCTCCCTTGGAATCCCCTCCCTGCGGGCTTGCGCCCGTCAGTGGCTTGAGCAATGGCGGGCACAATGCTCCCAACTCGGTGGCCCCCATGTCCCAAGACCCGGTTCCAGGACTGCTAGCTCCACGTGGGCAGCGACCACATCTGACTCCCTCACCATGGTACTCGGGCTCAGGCCTGTTTTCAGACGACACGTTCAAATAGTCTTCGCAGAATCCAGAGTAGATGAACGAAGGGATGAGTGAGAGCACAGGAAGCCACGGCTCCTGGGGTTGGAGCCCCGGCAATGGGACGTCTCGAGTCACTGCAAGATGACCTGCACCTCTTCCCTCCCAGCCAGACAGGCTGCAGCACCATTGGTTTGCCCGCTCCTGGCGTCGCCGTTGGTATGTTCCGAGAGACCCAGCTGGCAGGACTGCCGGCCTCTGGCATGGGCTCCGGGGAAAACGGACTCTCCTCTTCCAGGAAGGGATCGCCTCCTTCCCCTGCAATCCACAGCCCCAAAAGTCTGATTTCTCTGAGCATGTGCCAGCTTTGCTTGCGGAAAACTTAGTTCTTCAGCCTGTAGGGTGGTCACGACCATGGGTGGTGGGAGCAGCTCTCAGCACCCGCAGGACAGCAGCCCGAGAGAGGAGCTAACGGCGTTCTCTTGGTACACAAAGGAGGGTGGCTCAGAGCCTGGCAGGACGCTGGGATGAGGCGCAGACAGGCCGAGGACTCAGCGTTCCCCAGACCCTTAAGACAGAAGGAGCCCTTCTCAGGCATCAGTTTGTGTGGCCATGATGACATGTAACTGTCCCTTCCTGCACTAAGGGCCTGTTCTCGGGGCAATAGGTTCACCTGCATGTCCTGTGCAGTATGGAATGAGTGCCTGAGATGCTGACTACTCTGCTCAGATCCAAAGTGGTTTCTGGAAAGGCCAGGTCTTTAACTCAGCACACGGGCACACTGCCCCGACATGCCCTTCAGGGACAGCGGGCCCGGGCTACAGGAGGGCCCTGCTGCAGCCAAGCAGGTGCTGGAGGAGGGGCCCCCTGAGCTCTCTCCCCAAAGCCCCACTGTTCACCCTGTCCCCTTTGAGGTGTCCAGGCATCAGCCCTGGCCAGGGCTTGGCCCAAACCACCTTTATATGCTCTCAGGTTCAAACCACCTGACTGGCTCAGCTCTGGTTTCTTACCTGCAGACTGTGTGTGTGTGTGTCTATGGGCTTGATCTTCAACTGAATGATTATTAAGTGATGCAAGCATTGCTAATACCGTTGCGGCTTAAACATGTGGCAATGATGTTTTAACAGAGTCACTGAAGGACACAGCCCTGGTCCCGCCCAGGCCCCCGGCTAGCCGCTGGAGGCTCAGGGCGGAGCTGGCTGTGCCTGTGGCCGCTGATCCATTCCTGGGGGTCAGCTTCGCCCTCCTGACGCTGACTTGAGCTCCAGAACCAGCTAAGGGTTACTCCCAGGCTCAAGATCTCCCTCTCTGCCTGACCCCGAGGCTAGGTACCTTTGGTTTCAAAAATGGATTAGGTGGGGAGGGTGAAGGCGGCACCTTCGGTCTGAGAACTGCAGGGCTGCGAGCGTCCCCGTCGGGGGCAGAGGGGTGAGGGCATCGGAGGAGCGGCTGCTTCTGGTCCTGGCGGGACGCTTGCATGGGCCACCCTGCCCTCCTCGAGACAGACAGACGTGGCTGGAGGCCTCAAGGCTTGTGGGAGGGCTGGGGAGACCCGGGAACTCCAGGGATAGGGCAGAGCTGCGTAAGGCATACGAAGAGCATCGAGTCCTCCCCGGGCGGGGCTGTCACAGCGCTGTCAGCACGGAGCCACCTCGGGGTCCCCTGATATGTGTGCGCCCTCATGGAAGGACGGACTGGCTCAGTCTCGGGGTAGCAAGTCCCCACACACCGTTATCAACCGTGAGCCTCAGCTTCATACAGAATTGACCAAGGAGACGACATCCGCTGGAGAGGAAAGGGGGAGCAGTGCTTTGCACCCCCAAACACACCAGCAAAGCTTGGGCATCGTGGGGCCCCGCCTCTCGGGCAGGTGCCCTCTACTCCGGACATAGCCGCCGTGGTCCTCTCTCCGACATCCTGCACTTCGCTAATGGGGAGGAAGGAAGTCCAAACCCAGCCTTCCTCTTCTCTCTCGAGGCCAGCACCGTGCCGCCCCCGGGGCCAGACCTCTGCCTTCTCCTGCTTCAGGTACGCAGTCGCCGGGTGTCCCTCTATCAGTGCCCACTCGTGTTCCTCCAACTTCCCCGGAGTCAGAGCAGCTCACGTCCCGGATGCTCCGGAGGAGGGGGCGGGGCAGGGCATGAAAGGGGGGCAAGAGGCAAACTCACCTCTCAACCCAACCCGAGAGGCAAGGAGGCCTGCACGCCCTCTCCTTGCCAAAAATACTGTCATTTTCCAGAAAGGGGCCAGGCCCAGCTCAGCAACCGATGAGGCCAGGGCGGAGGGGCTGGGACCAGGGAGGCGTATGGCGAGAAAGGCATCCTTCGGGAATACGTTGGCCCGGTGGTGGCGTGAATACTATAGCTTTTCTGCATGTTCTGTCCGGATCACTCCTTTTGCCTATCTTTGCGGTTTCCTGGGGGAGAGTCCACCTATTTTTTTTTTTTCCAGGGACACGTCTTCAAAACGAAAAGGAAATGGAGACATCGGGTCTGGAGGGGAAGATGCACAAAGCAAGATACAGACAATGAAAAGTAGCGTAACCGAGGGAAACGGGTGAGTGGGGGCCAGGGTGGGCGGGGCCGGGCTCCCTCCAGCTGAGCGCAGCGGTGGCTCCAGCTCTCCCACGCTGGTGGCACCCGGCGTTTAGGGGGTCATCGGGAGGGGGCTTGTGGGTGTCTGGTGTTACTGGTCCTCACAGCCTGGCGGACCCCCATACCGAACCCTCGTCCCTGAAGGAGGTGGCGGCTTTGCAGTGGCTTCGTCTCCCCCTCTCCCTTCCTCCCACTTGCAAAGTAGTGCCTGTGCCCGGGTGGGCCCCGTTAGGCCAGAGAGTAGATGGCATTGACGGGTGACGTGGCCTCTGAGCTCTCGTTGCCCTCCGTTTCCTCCTTGTCCTTTTTGACCGTGTACTGGCCGATGAAGGAGCCGTCCTCGTTGAACTGCCCCTCCCCGCCCTCGCCATAGTCCACCAGGCTGTCGTCGCTCTCCTGCTGCTTGATGGTGCCGTCCAGGGACGTCTGGCTGCCCTGCAGGGGCTTGTTGTCCTCGTCACTGGCCAGGGAGAGAGAGAGGATCAGAGCCCAGCCCAAACCCAGGTGGGGCGGGACACGGCGGCCCGCTGCTAGCTCGGCAAAGACGGGACACCCAGGGATGGCCCAGCCCGGCCAGTTCTACGGAAGGGAGGCTGGGACCTAGAGAGGACCGGGGAAGGTGGCAAGGCGGTGCAGAGCAGCCCGTGCTCCTGGGCTCCGGGTCTGGGGTCCTTTCCATGAGCCTGTCAGCGGTGGGGGCAGCCGGAGACGGCCGTCCCCCAGCGAGGCAGAGCCACTGCCTCTGAGACCACGCAGGACGGCTCTAGTCCCGGGTGTCACCCTGTGGTTTTGTGACCTGGGCCAGCGGTGGCCTTCCATGATCTGGGACTCCGCAGGGAAAGGCTCTGCCTTGACAAAAAGCAAAGGAACAAAGCTGTCCCTGCCTCTCGATCTTGGTGTCGTTCTGCTCAGGTATCTGGCTGACCTACAAACAGACGCCACTGCTTTGGGGCCTAGCAATGGAGGAGCGAGCAGGTGGTGGGAGGGAGGGGACACCTGAGGACACTGCAGGGTTCAGAGGATCCTGCCCAGGGGTCCCCCGCAGAGGCCCCAGGCTGCTCCCCGAGCCAGCAGCATCTGCTCAGGCGCCAGGTCCCTGCCCCCGGCTGGAAAGCTCCCTCGGCCCTTTGGGCTCAGAGTGGGGACCAGGTGCTGCTGGCTGCACTTTAGAGGTGAGCCCAGCTCCCAGGAAGGAGGCAGCCGGCACCCGCAGGGGGAGCCTGGGGCCCAGCAGGCAGGACCACAGCGGAGCCAGGCAGTCTGAGCAGACACACCCCGCACCCGCCCCTGCCCCACTCAGTCCTCCTCGGGTGTGAGGAAAACAACCGGCTGAGTTGCCATTATAGCGGCAGAGTGTTCTCACTCCTAATAGCGGTGTCGGGCAGACAGCTGTCAGGGGAGGGCGGCCGGAGCCGAGTGCTGGCGGAGGGGAAGCTATTAGCCTGCTCCCCCAGTGCCGAGCGAGCCGTGCTGCCCATTAGCGTGGCCTGCGTTCTCGGACGGCAGCGCTGTGGGAGCTGGCGTGAGGGAAGTGGGTCTCCAGGGCTGCGCCGGGCTTGTGCAGGAAGTAGAGCTTGCTCCTTGCCAACTGGCGGGCTCTAAGTGCCAGGCTCCTCACCCCATGGGCCAGTCTCCCCATATGCACCCCTTCCCCAGGGCCCCCTCCACCGGCAGCGGCGTGAGGGCTGTGCTCTGCAGGAATCCCACCCCTGCTTCCAGCAACTACTCCAGCTACATGCACCCGCTGGACGGCGCCGGCCCCGCCAGGGTGGCCCTGATCTAGCCACTGTCAGCCGAGCTTCCGAGTCACCCTGGCGGTCCAGGGGGGCAGACGCAGGAGAGCCATGCAGGAGCACCATGGGAAACTCAGCGCAGGATGGGGGACGGTGAGCCACACGCCTCCCTTGCCCCAGGCCTGTCCCCGCCAGAAACTCACTTCTTCCTCTGATGTGTTAGTTTCAGCCTTTCCTCAGTTTAGGATTCTTAGACTCGTCCGAGTGGGGGCTCTAGGGTAGAATCTGCAGGCCCCCCAGAGCCAAAGCAGAGGGGCGTTTGCACACGTGTGCCAAGCACGCGCCGGAGCGTGGAGATCCAGCCCCAACGTCTGGGGGAGGAGGCAGGTGCTTGTGCCCAACAGCTCGGGGGGAAGAAGCCACAAAGCTCAGGGAGTAGCTCTCAGCCCGCAGGGAAGCTGGGCCTTGCTAGGTGGTCGGGGCCAGCCAGGGGAGGGGGACAGGGCTTCGTGAGCTTGCCCTTTTGGGAGGCCCATGAGGATGATGGACAGTCACGGTCCACAAGCCGCCAGACAGGCTCCCGTGTGGGAGCCGTGTGTGCATCGATCTGACCCTGCTTGCCAGCCTGCTGATGGGCAGGGTGGCGGAGGCCCAGGGCAGGAAATGGAGAGGTCAGAGGAGGACGAGGGGCCCAGACAGTCACTGGGTGGGGGGTGGGGAAGGAGGGCTCTGACCAGACATTCCCTACCGCTTGGCCTGGGAATGAGACTCCACGACCCACCCTGTGTCATTCCTGAGTTAAAAATATAGCTGTCATCACAACGGACAGAGGAGAACTTTATAAGCCTGGGTACAGAGGCCCGCCCAGATCCGAGGGGCAGCACAGGGGTAGCACAGCGGCACCAGCCAGAGCTGCAGCCCCTGGAACTGGCCTTTTCAGCTCTGCCACTGGCCACCGAATGGCGAGCTGGGCGGGTCTTAGGCCAGCCATTCCCAGTCTGGGCCTCAGTCCTCTCCTCTGGGACACAGGACACACCCTGCCGGATGCCTCCAAGGCCTGTTCCAGTCGAGCGCCCAAAGACAGCGCCAGGTTCCCGGGGAAAAGGCCTAGAATCCAGCCCCCCTTCATCCCTTTAAGGCTCTAAGGCGATGCAGCCCCCTGGGTCATTATCTTCAGGGCTGGGGGTGGGAGCTGAGCTCATGTCATGGCAAGGGGGGCCCAGGGCTCGTTTTCAGAGTACAAAGGCAGAAAGACATAGACGAGGAGCTCGATACAGTTGAGCTGCACAGCTGAATGAATGCGACGCCTTTTGTCAGAGGGACGCGTGTGTGCGCCGGGCAGCGTCTCCCAGGGGGGCGCCTCGCCTGGCACCGTCGCGACAAGAATCCTCTCTGAGCAGGCTCCGCAGCACGCGCCCTCTGCCAAGGCGCCCTCAGAGAGGCAGAGCGACAGCCCTAATGGCCCAGGACAGCTACGAAACCTGCCTCGGGGACAGCCCGCCTGACGGGGGAGGGAGGAGGTCACGCACCTGTAGTCAAAAGAGCCATCCTCTTCCTTAGGGTCTTCGGGGCCAAGAGGAACATCCTTCTTTTCTCGTACTTGGTCAACAAGAGAAGCGAAGATACAGATTAGGACAGCGACACTGGGCTCGGGGACCCTGCCTTTATAGAAGGCACCATTGATGCCCCCCATGTTCTTGCTTCCTGCACTCTAGCAGTTGCTAAGCTGATTCTGCGACCTTCTCCTCTCTAGGGTCCCTACAGCTCCGCTGACGACTGAAATCTCCTTCCACCTGGCTCCCCACCGCCACTCCATGAGGTCTTCTCAACGTACCAGACAGTGCCAGCACGAGGAGGGAAAACACAGAGGCCCGCCCAGATCCGAGGGGCAGCAAACCCAAACCCAAAAAAACCGTCAGATAGACGCGTCCTTTCCTTGGCCCAAGGCAAGTCCACCGTCTGCACCTCTCCCATCCCGCTGTGTACTAGAGTCACTCGTGCGGGCTTCCTGTGCCCGGGACAGCACGCTAGGTCTTTCCTCGAGGGTGGGGGACCGAGTGCTTCCTCAAAGCCCCCAGCCGAGTGCCCCGGGCAGAGAGGACGGAACGTGCTCTCACCTCGGAGACCTCCCTTGGGGGCGCGCCCCTCTTCCTAGATGTCGTATGTGGTGCACAAACCTCCAGCCAAGGCCCTGCCTGTCCTTGAGGAAAGACGATCTTGCCCCTGGTATCCCAGCACCGAGGCTGGCGCCGAGCAGGCACTTTCATGAAAGAGTATGCCGTGTTTTTTTTTGAGACAGAGTCTCGCTTTGCTGCCCAGGCTAGAGAGAGTGCCGTGGCGTCAGCCTAGCTCACAGCAACCTCAAACTCCTGGGCTCAAGCGATCCTCCTGCCTCAGCCTCCCGAGTAGCTGGGACTACAGGCATGTGCCACCATGCCCAGCTGATTTTTTTCTATATATTTTTAGTCGGCCAATTAATTTCTTCATATTTTTAGTAGAGACGGGGTCTCGCTCTTGCTCAGACTGGTTTCGAACTCCTGACCTTGAGCAATCCTCCTGCCTTGGCATCCCAGAGTGCTAGGATTATAGGTGTGAACCACCGTGCCCGGCCAAGACTATGCCTCTTTTTGGGGCATAATGCAGGATAACCACCCCTATATTCAGTGAGGGAAACTGAGGCCTTGAGGGGTGAAGAAAGCATCGAATAACTAATCTAATTAGTAACTGAACAAAGACTGGAGTGGAGACTAGAGCCAGGCCTCATGGCTCCAGGAGAGCCGTGGTTCACTCATCTTTTCAATGTACACAGGCTTACCCGGTAGCAGGAGGGAAAGAGGTTAGCTCTGAAGAACTTTCTAGAATGGGCAATGGAAGGCTCACAGTTTATCTGACGAGTTCATCAGTTGTTCCAGTTCTGCCTGGGACGGGGGAATGAGCCGAGTCCTCCCAGGGAGGGCCCCCGACAAGCTCAGGCTGTCTCTCTCTCTCGGAAGGAAACAGTCCCGACAGGGCAAAACAAAGTGACGGGAAACGTCACTCATCAGAACGAGTCGCCCTCCCTCGCTTACAGGCAGGGACAGATAACTCTTCAGAATCCCAGAGTCTGTGGGCACTTGGGCAGGGGAAAGCAAATCAGACAGAATCTCCTCTCCTCTGTCCTTTGTGTTGGCTTTTAGGGGGACCCTGGGGAGGGGGATCTGTTCTAAGATGGGGGTGTGGGGCGAGTTTGGCGACGGGGCTCTGGGGGCAGGGAGCGAGTTCATGCCGCGGCCCAGGGGGATCTTTGCTCTCGAGGTTATCCATTATCCTGTCTCCCTGCCCGCCCCACTACGGACAGATGGCTCCTGCCCCCGTTTGGAAAACAATCAATATTTCCAGAAACAAGAATGCCAGAGGTCCTTGTCCTTGACCTTGGTCTGTCTGGGCTGGAGGATCTTGAGGCCGACAGAAGAGCAAGGCCTCTTCGGGACCCCAGGGAAGCCAGAGCCCCTCCCGGCCATGGGGGTCCCTGGGAGCTCCTCACCTGGGAGCTCTGGCCCTCCGTTAGAGGTGTCTGCCATCATACCCTCGCCCGCCGAGAGCCCAACCCTGCGGCCTCTCCCACGGGCGTGCCGCTTCCGCCCAGACCCCTCCGGTCCCCGCGCTCTGGACGTGGGTAGAGAAACGCCTCTCTCTTCCTTTCCCCTCCCTGGGCCACAGGATCCTAATGAGATTCAGGCTGAAAAAAGCCAATTTGCTGAGCAGATGGGCGGTGAGTCAAGGAGAGGAAAGGTCACGCTTAATGGGGGCCAGGGCTCCCCACAGCCCCTCGCTGGAGCCTCCTGGGGCGCCCGCCCACCCGAGGTGAACTTAATTAGCTGCAGCGCTCGCTGGCAGCTCAAAGACGACGCACGGACCAGGCAAGAGGACCCCGTTTCTAGGCCTGGCGAGGGCTGGGTTCCCCTCTCCCGTCTCTCACCTGGGTACTTGCCGCCGCGACTCCGCTTGATGAAACAGACGATGAGCAGGATCAGCACCAGGAGGGCGATGGCGCACATGAGCCCGATGAACCAGCCCTGGGTGGCGATGTCCGCCTGGTTGTTGGTGTAGGCTGGCGGGGAGGGAGGGCGGGAAGCAGACGGTGAGTGGCTCGGCCGGGAGAAGGTGGGGAGGGCGATGCGAGGGAAGGACCGCAGCTATGTCAAGTGGGTGCTTCTCCTGGAGCCTAACGCCACCACCTAGCAGCAGCCCTCTGGCCCACGCTACCCCGGCTAAAGGGACAAAAAGAAAATAATTAAGGAGCCAAGGTGGAAGGGTCAGAAGAGAGGCAAAGGATGGGGAGCAGAGAAGCAGCGGAAGGCTGAACAGGACCTTTAGGAAGGGGCGGGGCATTCTGCAAACCACAGAGCTGGTCGCAGCCTAGTGGGGATGGAGGGAAGGCCAGGGATTGGCCAAGCAAGTAGGATTCCCCACGGGTCCACGCAGGGTGAAGAACTAGGCGCCTGTGAGCCACGCCTTGGGGAGTAGGGGCTGCGGCCACACTGCAAAACCCTGCTGTGAGAACGCCCATGGGGCCTGCACAGGTGCAGAGCGGCATCCTTGCCCCCCCCCCTCCGGCGTGGCTCTGGAGCCATCAGTGGGCCCCAGACCTGGTGGAGGCCCAGGGTGTCCCTGTGTCTTTTTCTGTCTCCCCAGCAGGACTGCGCCGTGTGGCAGCGAAGTGTCCCGGCGCTGGTACCCGCAGACAGGCCAGCTCTGACGCCGGGGCTGTGCCTGCCAGTCACTCCACTCCACTTCCAGACTACTTCCACACGGGGACTTGCCCCTCCCTCCCCCCGACAGTGCGTCCCTCTCTGTCCTCGCCTGGTGTGTGCGGAGACCTGTCTCAAAGTGGGCAGACCCCACCGAGACGTGAGGGGCGCACGGGAGCCAGCTGGTGGTGCTCTTGGCGGTCCAGTGGCTGCGCTTTGGGTACAGCCAGGACCCACCTGCCCTGCTACTCTCTATGGACGGGAGAACGAAAGCAACCCTTGCAGAAACGCAGCCTGTCGTGGGAAAGACGACTCAGCGGGGAAGGAATCAGAGGGACGGAACATGGCCCAGGAGCCAGCCCAGCCCAGAGAAGCCCTGGGAGCCCCACCAGCCCTGGAGCCGGAGCGGGAGGCTCGGGCCCCTCCCTGGAGCAGCACGGGGGTGGCGGGAGGGGGGGACCCACAGCCCTGGTGCTCCCGGGTCTGCATCACGCGCGGTGCTGTGGGGCCGGTGTCGGGGTGCAACTCCACTCCTTGCTCTTCTCCGGGCAGGAACAGTTCACAGCCTTCCCAGTGCCCAGCCCGGGCCATCGCACCAAGACAGCTCGCAGTCAGTGGTAAAGACAGACAGACAAGCGATTCTGTGTGCTGGCTGCCCCGGGTGGCCCTGGGCTGAAAAGCAGTCACGCCCCAGAAGAGCATGGCGTGTGATCAGCCTGGCTTCTGTACGCTGCGGGGAGAGGCCCAGGCCTGCTTCCGCTCCTGCGCTCGGCGAGCCGTTGCCCACGCTGCGTCAGAGATCTTTCCAAACCCCACTTAGGAGCCAATCACGTCCTTTCCTAAACTCTCATTGCAGAAAACTCTCCGCCCCTTATCCTGACCTGCCAGGCTCTGCCGGAGCTGGCCCTGGCTACCTGTCTCCCACCGCCCTCTCCTCACCCTCTGTGCCCCAGCCACACTGGCTGCTCTCATTCCTGCCCCAGGGCCTTGGCATCTGCTGCTCTGCTCTTTCTTTCCTTCCTCCTTCCCTTTTTCTTTCTCTCTTTTTTTTTGACAGGGTCTTGCTCTGTTACCCTGGGTATAGTGCAGTGGCATCATCACAGCTCACAGCAACCTCCAACTCCTGGGCTCAAGCCATCCTCCTCCCTCAGCCACCCAAGTAGCTGGGACTACAGGCATGCGCCACCATGCCTGGCTAATTTTTCTATTTTTAGTAGAGACCAGGTCTTGCTCAGGCTGATCTTGAAACTCCTGACCTCAAGCGATCCTCCTGCCTCGGCCTCCCAGAATGCTAGGATTACAGGTGTGAGCCACCGCGCCCGGCCTGCTCTTTCTTCAGATACTGCCTTGGCAAAAGTCACCCCTCAGAAAGGCCATCTTGGGTCTCCCAGTTTAAAGTCCCTCTCCGCCGACCCACCCAGTCACTCCGAGGGCTCATAGTACACACAAGCATTTGACATTATTAATACTGCTATTAATTTATGTATCAGCACTTCCTATCTGCTCTAAGTACTTTTCCACACATTATCTAATTTAATCCTCACCACAGCTGCCCAAGACAGGTTTTACCCTTCTCTGTTGTAGCAGAGGGAGGCTGACTGGCTCGAGGTTGCTAAGCTGTAAGTGGCAGAGTTGGGGTGCAACCAGGCTGCCTGGCTCCACACTCTGTGCCCTTTTCCACTGCATTCTTGTCCCTCCACCCAGGGGGTGAGCTCCTTGCAGGGACGGACCATGTTTGAAGCACAGCAATCTGTGTTTGCTCAGCAAAGAATCATGGACTTTCCCCGCTTCATTCAGTCGGCTCCCTGCTTGCTGGGGCGCTGCTGAACCTTAAACCCCGCCCCCTCCGGCATCACCCATTCCTGCACTGGGCTGGGTCCCCAGCCCGGGGTCTCTGCGGCCTTGCTGCATTTCCATAGATCCTGCATGGGGGAGATGCCAGCCCCGGCCTGTCACAGACTCACGGCGTCACACGTCTCCTGGACTGCCACTGCTGCCCAGCCTCCCTCTTACTCATCGCTCACTGTCCTATCCACCCTGAGCTGTCTGTCCAGAACCGCTGCCCTCTGACCTCCTGCACAGCTCCCGTGTCGCTCTGTCTCCCTGTCCATGGTTGACCTCACCTACCCCATGGGCACTCTGGAGCCCACTGAAACCTTGCAGCCTCTACAGCCGGCCCTTCCCCCAGTGTCAGAGGCAGGGTCCCCCCCCAGGTCCCTCATTCCTGTAAGGATCCCCGCCCTCCCAGCAGTCTCAACCTCCCCCCTTAGCTGTCCCCTTGCCTTCTGCTGCTAAGCACGTTGAGGTTTGCTATGACTTTAAGCAAAAGCCCTTGAGGAATCTGCTAGACTTTTCAGCTCCAGCTCATGCATTGTCCTTTTGTAAGTAAACTCCATAATCTTCCACCCTCCCCAGCTCCTGCCAACCAACTCCTGTCTCCACCCCGGCAAGCTGACTTCAAGCCGGTCTACACTCAGGGCTTCAGCTGCCATCCCTGAGCCAGCCTCTCCCAAACCTCCCTCTGGCTCGCTAACTGTCACCGTCTTGTCCTGACCCTTACTCATCTCCATCCTCCCTCCAGCCCCGCCTTCCTCCTGGTAGCTCTGCTCGGATGTCTGTGCTGGAAACTCAGCCTGTGTCTTCCCACTCCCTCCCGCGTCTCTCCCAACTCCCCACCTCCGCCAGAGCCCTCGCCGCTCTTTCCACCTCTAAGGGCCTCCGCCTCTCCTCCTCAGATGCCTCATACTCGCCTCGCTGCTTCGTTCTATTCCAGGGGTGCCTCACCGTGCTTGTCAGTGCCCGTGGATGCAATGAGACATTAAGTCACCGGTTCCTAGGACGCTTCCCTCTGTCCCCAAGTGCCTTCTTAAGGATGTGCCGCCATTCCTCACTTCCTACCACCCTGGGCTCAACTTCCCAGCCTGGCCTTCTGGGCTCTCCAGTCTCGCCCCTGCCCAAGAGAGCCTGGGCTGTCACCCTCGTTGCTGGCCACCTTTGCTCTTTCTAGCCCTTTTTCACGCATCTCTGATTGCTCCACCTCTGAACTCTGATTTCACTCCCAGCCACACCACGCAGTATAACATTTTAAGTGTTCTATTTCCTGGGTCCTGGTTTCCAATTATACTATTAAAGTCTTGGGGACAGGGGGTCTCTCTGAGCCCCTAAGTTCTTAGCACAATGCTGCTAAGTAACATTAACAAGTAAGCAGTGACAACTTACTGATAAATGCAGCAGTCCCAACCTTTTTGGCATCAGGGACCGGTTTCATGGAACATAATTTTTCCACAGACCGAGGGTGGGGGAGTGGGGTGTCATGGGTGGGGGGAGGGTGGTGCAGAGCTTAGGTGGTGATGCACATCCTGTTTCCTAAGAGGCCGTGGACCAGTACTGGGCCATAGCCTGGGGGTTGGGGACCACAGGATTAATGGATCAATTTAATCCTAATATATGGTTAACCTGGGATACTGGTTTTGGTTTTCTCTGGTACCAGCTAGGGGTCATGTGGATGTTGTCTGGCCCAGTTGCCACACCTGTGCACAGGGATGGAGGAATTACTTGAACTTGTGTTTGGATACTGGCATCACCTTCGGCAGCGACCTTCCTGGTACTTGTTCTGATGCGCTCTGACAGCTGTCGCCATGAGACTACCTTTCTCTTGGGAAAGAAAGTCACAATTCCAGGGGAACGTGGCCACATGAGCAACTGAAAAAGCAAATGTAGCTTTCTATTCCTGACGGTGCCAGGTGAAGTTCAAATGTTACCTTCAGTCCTTACTGAAAAGCTTGAAGAATTTCCTGTGATGTTTGGACACAGAATGATGTTCAAAATCCAGTGGGGGCCAGGCATGGTCACTCACACCTGTAATCCCAGCACTTTAGGAGGCCAAGGCAGGAGGATCTCTTGAGGTCAGGAGTTCAAAACCAGCCTGCGTAAGAACGAGACCCCATCTCTACAAAAAACAGAAAAATTAGCCAGGTGTGGTGGTGCACACCTGTGGTCCCAGCTACTGGGGAGCCTGAGATGGGCAGATTACTTGAGCCCAAGAGTTTGAGGTTGTAGTAAGCTATGATGATGCCACTGCACTCCAGCCTGGACTGGAATGGGAACCAGAGTGAGAACCTGTCTCAAAACAACAAAACCACCAAGTGGGATCTAGGGTAAGGTGGGCTCAACCACACCCCATTCAAAATGATTTACTGTCTCAAGAACCAAAAGAAATTTAGGACACAAGGATCTCACTTATGAGGTGACCCCATGGCTTTGGCTCCGAGAGGAAGGCATTTAGCAAGGCTCTGGGGCAGCTACATCTGACTGCCAACACCATGCTCAATCGATGAAACCCATTTCGAGATTCCTAATGGACGGAGCCAGTAGTATCTGCACACAAAGGCCGGGGTGTGTTTCCATTCCCCACCTCGGCTGGGACTGACGGGGGCCCAGAGCGGCATCCTCTCGTCCGGGCCACTGGCGGGGCAAACACGGGTCCAAGTGCCCCTTCCTCCGGACTAGAACCTGTGTTTTGTGTACCTTCCACACCGCACCCTAACCCCACCTGGAAACCGACAGCTCCCCTGCAATGCAGATGGCTCCGACCACTCCTAATTCCAACTGGGAGGAATTTGATTTGGCCATGGAAGAAAGGCCAGTTACTCAAGGGCTGCAGAAGAATTATAGTCTACAAACAGGGCTAAACAAATATAGCACACAATTTGGCTCAGCGGCTCTCACTTAAGCACCGTCTGACACCTCTCCACACCCACCTTGTCTGTCCTGGGTTGACTCAAGAGATGCTTCTCCCTAACACAGCAGGACCCCCTAGAGCCCCCTCCCCACTCTCCTGCTGCCCGACTACGGCCACCGTCAGCACCGCCATCCTGTGGCCTTGCGCCACCCTGCCCTCCAGCACAGAAGAGCTGCTGGGCCTCTTGGAGTTCAGGGAGATGTGTCTGCAGCTGCCCAGGTCTCTTGGGCTTTGAAAGCTTCGAGGAGGCCATTAAGTTCCCACCGGGATCTTTCTGGCGAGGGCAGAGAGCTTGTTACCCTTCCCGGTGGTTTCCTTTTCCATTCCCTGCCTGAACCCCACTGTAGCATGTTCGAGCCTGTGGACTAAAGCGATGGCCTGTGGCTGTCTAAATGACCAGTGGTCGGGGCCCAGAGATGCCCACACATTCTTGCTTTGGTGGGACACAGGCATCCGGGGGATTGTGTGGACTTGGCTCTGGAGTCCACCCACACGAAAGACGGTGTGTGTTTTCAAACAGTACAGGCGCACACGCACAGACTTCAGAAAGTGAAAATATTTTCTCTCCCTATGCGGTTTGCACGTAGGCATTTCCAGCCAGCCCGGGAGGGAAGAGGACAGTTTGTACTCAGAGCTAGGGTCATGAGCCTGCCCACTCCGGCTAGCCCTGGGAGGAGTCTGGGAAGACTTAGCGAGCTACCAAGACCAAGCACAGGAAAAGAGAACTGAGTATTTAAGTCAAATGCATACGCAGTATCAATAGTTGTTTTTCTAGAGTGTGTATGCAATTCCTCCAAGCAGATGAGGACACCCCTGAGGGCAGGGACTGGTTTTACCCCTCTGGTTCTCTCTCCTCAACCCTCGCCCACAGCCCCGGAAGTCACAGCTCTCAAAGCAGCCTGCGTGGCCACGTCCCCACCACCGAGCTCTGTCCTCAAATGCCAACTCTGCTTCTCGTTCCTGACCTGCACTCAAGTTTGTAACGAGGCAAAATCAAACGCGTGTACTCGCGAGCGACAGCTTGGGACCCCAACTGGGCCAGACAGAGTCCGGCCACCTGCTCTGCTCGGTCAACTGTCCAGTTCCCTGCCCGGCTCCCCTTGGAGCAGGACGGCCTGGCCACCACCCAGATGCCCTGCCTGAGCTGGCCTGGCGAGCCGCAAGGCAAGAAGGCGGCCAGACTTGGCGGCATGAAACGTGCAGGACAGGAGGAGACACAGGGAGGAGGAAAGGACGCCATACAAGGAGGGACTCGGCCAGAGGGGGTGGGTGAGACCCTGACACAGAAGGGCAGAGACTCCCGAGATGTGAGCCACCAGGATCGGGCTCGCCAGGCCAGGCGCAGGAAGAGTAATGAATATTTAAGCCAACGTCCAGAAGTTCATATAAATTATTGCGGGTCCCACCCCCCAATCCTGTGTGTCTAATGACCTGCATCTAATTAGGCTATCCCTTGGGGTAGGGACCGATCCTTTTTTCTCTTAATCTCTTTCCCCCACCCTTGCCCTTAGCCCCAGGGCTTAGCACACAGGCCACTTGGCAGCCTGCCTGGCCGACTAAGGCTCCATCCAAACACTCAGACGAGCAAAAGCCCCCCGTCTCCAGCCCGCCAGCCACCCCGACGGCAGAGACGCTTCTGAACCTCCTGCCCTGCCCCGAGCCCCAGTTGTCCTGTTCATGGGCGTGATGAAGACGCTTCTGCGCCCACAGCCCAAGCAAGACAGAGCCAGAACCACTCTGGGATGGGAGAGCGACTTCCCCTCTCTCCCTGTATGACAAAAAGGCACCTATTTTTTTTTTTTTTTAGGCCAAGACAAACTTGGAACAAAAACAAAGCCCTAAATAAGTCGTGTCACTCGCTTCGGAATTTTTAACAATAGGTAACGGTAGCAAGTTTGTCCCATACGTACTGACCCTCGGTTTGGTTCCTGGGGAGATTTTCTGGATCCAGACCCGGGGATGGCCCCGTGCCCTAGTCCCACGTGCAGGCGGCAAGACCCTGTGCACACAGGGCGGGCCGCACTGCCCTCCAGCAGCCCCCAGACCCGCCGCAGTGGCCGAGCCTGCACAGATACCAAGCAGGGCCGAGCGTTTTCTGTCCTCATTGCCCAATCCTTTGTTTCCTTCTGACCCCCACTACTCAGCCCCACGGGTCAGAATCGCTGCTTCCTCTCCACTGTGCGCCCACACTGGGCTCCTCTTGGCTTCCCGGGAGCCCGAGGCCGGCGCACGGTGAGGGCCGAGACACGCCATGCAAGGGGGGGTGGGGCGGGGCGAGTCTTCTTCCCGAGGAGGAGAGGCAAGCAGGCAGCCGAGGATGAGAATGAAACGCCCCATGCTCGCAGGGGACGGCCAGGCCGGATCCCCTCTCACCTGTACTGGTCATAAAGGTGATGACGGTACTGCTGATGCCCTCGTTGTCCCGGGAATAAACCCGCAACGTGTATGTCATCCCGGGATAGAGGTCTGTCAGCTGTATAGGCTGAGCCTGGCCCTTAACAGGGACAGTTTTTTTCGTATGGTTGCCTGGGGAACAGAAACCTCAGTCAGCCTAGAGCCAGGCGCCAGGAGCTAGAGAGACCGTGCTTGCTTGGGTTCCTGGTCACCTGTCCGAGGGAGGGACCAGGGGACCGCGGGTCTAGTTCACCGCACGGCCCAGGTTTCCCAGCAGCTCCCCCGCGCCTGTCCACGCAACACGCTCCTAAACGGGGACCCTTCGGTGGAGGACACTGCTCCTCCCCCTGAAGTTCCCTGTCCTCCACCGGTCTTCACCCCAAACAGATGACGACCTACTTCTTTAAACTCTCAGCCCAAAGTGTGGACCCCGTCGGGGAGTCCGGGCGCTGTGGATGTGGACTCCTCCAACCACTGAGAACTTCTAGCTGGCTTTGCTCTTTCCCAAGAGGTGACTTTGTGGACCTGGCCCGGGTAGATTTCCTGGCTGGGTTAGTTAGTTAAATCGCTTAGAGCACGTGCAAAAGAGGCCAAGATGCGGGGTTTGAGCCTGCAGGAGCAGGGACCTTCACCCAGAGGGGAAGGGAGCTATCCTGCCCGCGCTCTGCAGTCCGCCCAGTCTGTACCCTTGGTCCCAAGATCCAGGGAAGGGTGCACAGCTCAGCTGAAGCCAGAGCTCAAGTGGCTCCGGTCTTGCCTCTGACCGTGGCCCACTGGCCTCCCCCCCCCCCCCCCGGAGCAAAGCACAGTTGAAGCCCAAGCCTGTGACCTGGCCCCGTCTGTCCAGTGGAGACACCAGCCCACGTGCAACCTGAGTTAACCACTTCGGTACGAGCGTCGACTATAGTCGGCAGCCACAGATGAACGTGCACAGCCGAGCGTCGACTTTAGCTGACGGCTGTGATGTGACTTTTCTAATTTTTCACTTATCAAAATAAAATTGTGAACGTTTAAAAATAACATCATAAAAACATAGATGTATATGTTACGTATTCTGATTTACGTTACAAGGAAAGCTGCCTGTAAAGTAAAACCAGCCTTCAGTGCTTTCAAGCTTTCCTCATCACATGAGCAAAACGGATGTGTTGTCCATGCACAGCAAGAGCTACCGTGCGGACCGTGAGTGCGGCTGTGGGCGACGTGTCGCGGCCGGGGAGCGCTGGACCGAAGTGGTTAAGGAGACCAAAGCCAGGTGAGATTCCGCGCGTGTGGGGCTGTTCAGAGCCCTCGTCCTGGGCAGGCAGTGGTCCTCACGGACACGCAGCCCTGGCCCTGCACTAATGGCTGCGGAAGCCCCTTCCTTCCCCGCGAGCTGCTCCGCCCCCCTCGCTGCCGCCCGCCCGCACGTGTCAATTTCGTTAGGCCATAATTAAGCCGGGCTAAAAGGCCTCTCTGGGCCCCGGGGAGTTCACGGATTCTCTTTAATGGCATCTACCACTACCCGCCGCCACCCCGCACAGCAATGCTTACTGTCGATGTACTCAACCACAAAGTCAGTTCCGGGCCCGAAATTGTGCTTCCAGGTGATGTTGGCCCATTTACTGTTGGGGAGCACCGTGACGTTCCATATGGACTGCTCGTCGGGGGCTGGTGGACGGGTTAGAAGAGGAGTTAGTGGCGGGGAGGGGGCAGCACCGGAGACACGGAGACGCACACACACATGCACACGAGCCCACGCGCACACACGGTCACCGCGGGGATGGGCAGAGTCAGGAGTGGCTGTGCACGGGGCCGCCAGGACTCCAAGCTGCAGCCTTGGTGGCCAGGCCAGGGGCCGCCGTCCAGGGATGGGGGTGTGCGGTCAGGACTCGGCTGTGAAGGAGAGCTGGGAACTGCATGTCTGCACACGTGGGGTTAAGAACGAAAGAGTGGGTTTCGTTCCACGCCGTAAGAGGCTCTAAACCTGGGCTTGTTCCCTTTTTCAGATCCCTTGTCATGGATTTGAATAGTGTAAGGAAATGGGCCCGGGAAAAGGTCCTGTGGCCAGGACGCAGACAGACGGGGACATGTGCCAGCCCCTTTCCCTTCCACCACGAAGTTCTATGGGAAGGAGAGAGTTATCTTTAAAAGCCAAGCAAGAGTCGTGATCCAAGTTGCCGAAAGGACAGCACCAAATGTGAGAAAACCTTAATGGGCTTTTGAAGCTGGAGAAGAAAGGAAATCCAGACAGGTGACTCTGGTCTAAGGAGCCCCTGTCCTTGTCCTTGGTGAGCCTGGACGAACCGTAAAACAGCCTCAGATCGTCCAAGGTGACTTGGGGCCTAGAACCTCAGGGTCCCCAGTAAAGACAGGGTGGACCCTTCCCCTCCCTGTCACAGGCAGGCAGGACCAAGAGAAGATAACTCCTCGACAACCAGCCCTCAGTGGTCCAGGTTCCAGAAAAATCCTATTCTGTTGGCCTCTCAACCACCACCGAGTGTTTGAGGCTTGATGGCCAGGCAACACAGAAGACATTAATTATCTAGTTCCTAGGAGCTGGGAGCTACTTTATCAAAGCCGTGGCGCTGTCTGAAGCCACAGCCCGCGTGCGGGAGGATGGCACTGATCTTCAAACGTAATCATTTTTCAGGAGTCCCGGCAGTCTGATTACCCCATTTTCCAGCAAAGGTTTAATAGTGGAGTACTAGCATGAAGCCTTGTATTTCAAAGACTTTACAACTGTGGCTCCTGTATATTTTATCAGCATGCAAAGGGGCACTGTCACCAACTCACTTGTCAAAAATAAATGAATAGAGTACATGGGCGATGCATTTATTCATTATCTGCTTGACATGTGACTGAGTCTGCAGGGCTAGGGAAGGGATAAAAGATCCCCTGGTTTTCACTTCAAAGAAGTGCCTGCTCCACTACAGCCTTGTCAGGTGCTGGCTGCCCCAGGTACGTTCACGTGAGGTGAGGGGTCCCACTGATGGCACCGCGGGGAGGGCAGAAGGTAGGCTTCCTTACTCATCCGCCAGACGCTTCAATTGTGCGGGCTGCTTTAGGCCGCCGCAAACCCCAGTGCCTTGGAATTTCATGCCTCTCGCCAGTGGGAATCAATTATGATTAGTCATGATGTGGAGACCTGAGTTTCTTCCTCCTTGCCTCTGAGCCCTGTCAACAGCTAGAGAATCTGTGTTTAAAACCATTTGGCCGCCAGGACGATATTGACCCAAATCTGGCTGTCTTAAAGGAAATGAAGATTGGGGCGCTTTTAGCAAAAAGGTCAAGCAATGCGAAGCCAAAACGATTTCAGAGGTGGGAATCGGAGGAAGGCACTGCCGTGGAGAGACATATCAAGACCCGAGTGAGCTGAGATGTTCAAAAAGGACCGAGAATGTGAGCTGTCAACACCTGGAAACGCAAAAAGGGTCCTTGAGGGAAAATGTGGAATGTTCCCCCGACTCCTGCAGTGTAAGGATTAGGGAGTATCCCTCCAAATCTGAAAAGGACAAGTTAAGAACAAATATAAAAGGGCATCGCTCACCCCGACAGAAGTAAACTTGTGAAACTTTTTCCCCCAAGATGTAAGGAACAATAAAGATGAAAATTCGTCTTTAAAATCCTGGGTGGCAGAGCAATTCAGTTGCATTAGGGAGGCCAGGATGTTCGAGGGGTGTCCCCAGGGTCCAGATAAGACCGAGGCCACGGCCAGGCCCCCCGCGGCGCCTCAGGGACAGTGCGAACCTGGCGTGAGAGTCCGAGGGGCCGGCTCTACGTGGCAGCAAGGTGGACCCTTCCAGCAGACAGACAACTCTTTGCTGGGAAGCAGCTCCCTTTCTTAATTTTTTTGGTGCATCTCTTCTGTGAACTCAGAAAGTACTTATAAGGACAAGAAGCCCCACTTTCATGGAAAAGATGCCTCCGGGTGGCCCCAAAGAACAGCAATCACCAAACCACCGGCGGCGGCGGCTTCTAACAGCCTACCGGGTCTCCCTGCAGCCAGCTCGTTCCCAAAGCGCAGGCCGAGTAAGTTCTGGATCTCACTGTGAAGCAGGGCTTCCGGGGCCTGAGGAGCGCCATGTCCGCTGTGCGCCACCTGTCTCCTCGCATGGCCACTTAACTCCATGACACTGAGCCTAACAAAACCCTCACGTGTACGCTAAGCCTCCATCCTCACTCAGGTGGCCGAGAAAGGTGGGGCAGGGCGGGCGACAGTGAGGCCCCCGAAGGTGGAGGGACTGTCCCAAGGGGCAGTGACGGGCGGGGGCCTACCACTCTACAACTGCCGGAGGAGAGCGCCAGGTGCTTCCTGCCAGCCCTGCCGGCTGCCTCACGCTCACCTGCCCGCTGGCCTGTGGGCTCAGGAAGTTGGAGACCCTCCCCCCTGGGTAATAAAAGACCGATGCTCAGCGCTTAGAAGTGTCCCTGAATTCCCCAGGAGGTCCTCAGGCTGGGAGAACACACAACCACCCTGGCCTGGGTTGCGTGGCGTAGAAACGGCACTTCCTCCTGGCCAGCCCTGGGCATGCCGCGGTCCCCCCACGCCCGCATTTAGGGGCCTGGGGACTGAGAGAGGGAAGACCGATGGAGCACTCTCGGCTTTGGGGGACTCCTTGGCAATACCTTTTCCTTGAAGCTCTTTTTAAAAGAAAAGCCTGTAAGTGGTTCCTCGGGGGAAGAGGGGCAGGGGTCCTGGGGACACAGTGGCCAGGCACGGGCAGCCACCCCCGCTGTCAGCCTCTCCCCTGCCAGGAGGGACGCGGACGTGGCCAGCTGCACCGTGCCAGGTGCTCGTTCCTCCCTCACACTGTCTCCCTTCCTGTGTGCTCGGCCCTGAGCTAGCGGGCTGGCCCACACTTCGCTGGAGGCAGCCTCCACATCTGGGACCGGGGGTCCCGCCCAAGGAGTCGGCCGTCTGCTGAAGAACGGGGACCCGGGGCCGCAATGAAGGTGCCCAGTGGCGCAGGGCCACCCGAGGCGAGGATGTGGGCAGGACACGCGGGCTGCTCTGAGCCTCCAGGCCACCGGACTGGCAGTGTAGCTGCGTGTGACTCTCCCGGAAGGAGAAACAAAGGGAGGTGTCGGCAAACACCAGCCCAGACCCCACCTCCCATCTGGGGGGGCCCGCGTGTGCGTGTGTGGACACCGCTGGGGAGCAGGCCGGGAGGGGCAGGGCAGTGTGGGCAGTGCGCAGTACCGGATCCGTGTATCTTAGTCCCGGAGGAGGTGGTGGGAGGGCTCTCCGTGGTGGTGGTGGCGGCAGTGGTTGTGGTAGTCGTGGCGACGGTGGTGGTGGTGGCGATGGTGGTAGGAGCGACAGTTGGGATGATGGGGACTGCTGTGGCTTCGGCGGTGGCAGCAATGGCAGTAGCATCGGTACTGCTCACAGCGCCTGTCGCACCCATGGTAGTCGGGGGCAACGTGGGCGGAGCTGAGAGGGAAACGCAAAACAGCCGAGGCCGGTTGGTGTCTGCGCCCTGCCTGGACGCGGCCCCGCGTGCGTGCGAGGCTGGCAGCCGCGCGGAGGTGTGGCCCGGGCGTCAGAAGCCTCCCCAAGCACCGCGTTCTGGGGCAGGCGGGTCCCAGCGTCGGAGACACAACCATGGGACCCGAAGAGAATGAAGCCCTGCGCGCGTTTCATTTTCTTCTCATGGTCTGTGTGGCTCGAAGCGCCCAGCATGCACCCAGCCGGGGGTGAGGGTGAGGATGGGAAGGGGGCGCGCGCTGGTGGCTCGGACCCCGGGGGTGGAGTCCCAGGCCCAACGCCGCCCAGACATAGACCAAGGGCACCAGCTGGGTCCAGCCCTGGAGCCCCGGCCTAGAGGTGGGCAGGCGGCTGGACCCTGCCCCACGGGGCACAGGGCAGCCTGCCATTCCCAACCATTCTCTCCAGAGTCACCCCGTCACACCTGCTTGAGCCCAGACAGCCACCCAGACCCAACAGAAGGGGGACAATCTCCACTCTCCATGCCAAGCCCCACGCGTCTCTCTGCCTGTGCTCACACTCCCCAGTCTCCGCCCTTCTTGCTCATTCCCTCTCCCCCGCTGCCTATCCACCACCCTTCTTCTTCCCCTCCTGCCTCTCCCCCTGCCTCTCCTCTCTTCCCTGCCCAATGGTGGCTCTGCCTGCAATTACCCCAACCCACCCTGACTTCTAGTAACGGCCTGCCTCTCTAGGAAATCTAGGGTCCAGGCACCCCAAGGCCTGTCTGTCCCATTTAGGACGTGGGCAAAGGGCACTGATGGGATCCAGCATGGCTGCGCCCGGCAGCACCAGCTCCCTGCCCCGGCACAGAGAAGTCCCAGGTTGAGAGCGAGGCACCTGCTGGGCTTCTTTTGAGCGGTTCAGATCTGAGCTAACCCTCTCATGTCCCCCCAGTCCCCCATCCAAAGCTACCCTTTGACATCTGTCATCCCTGGGGGACTAAGTCTACATACGCGACAATTTTTTCACAGGCCCTCTTTCCTTCTATAGAAGGGTCCGTGGAAGCTAGCAAAAGGCTGCGCTACCCTTACTCTGCAGCTCCATTATTTGCTAAAGCTGAGGGTGGGAAAATGATGGGATAAGTCAGAGAGACACAGCCACTTCTCCTCCTTGAACCCCATCTCCTGTGATCTGACCATGGCCCACTCCATAGGGTCGATGCTAATCGGGGAGTAAGGAGGGACCTTGAGACATAAGCAGGCAACCACACTCCCAAGCAATCCCACCCTGCCTCAAGTCTCTAGCAGAAGTTAAAGCAAATCACCTTCCTTGCCCGGCGCCCCAACCCCCCCCCCCCCAGTGCAGAAGCGGGCTGGGGCAGGGAGGGGCATCAGAGAGGGAACTACCCGAGAGCTTTTCTCAGGGTGGGATGGAGTGATATCCTGAACCTTCTCAACCAGAGCCTGACAACCAAAGCCCTTTCATTTCCCTGGCTCTCCAATATCACAACCCCACCCCCAGCCCCCGTAGAGAAGCAGGGAATGTTCCTGGGGTTCCGGCCACTTCCCTACTTGGAAGGTCAGAGGTGCTGAGGGTGCTATGCACAGAAGTCACGCCGGGCACTGGCTATGCCTCCTACGCGCCAGAGAGTCCTGGGCAAGTTCGAAGCCGACAGTGCTGTATTCCCCAAGCCCTATGGACCCACAGACATCGGGAAGGCGTGGGGAGGGGTGGGGGGTGGGCACGGCCCTGTCTCATATTCTCTATGCAGGGATGCGCCCAGTCCAAGCGGCCCCAGGCCTAGAATGTCAGCTCCATGCTGTAAATGCTCAACACAAAGGGATTCGCTTATCCTCAACCACCAAGACGTGTGCGCGCGCACACACGTGCTCACGCACACACGTGCTCACGCACACACGCACACACACACACACGGCACAGCCCGAGAGACCCAGGAGGCAACGGCCAGTTCCGTCCTGGCCTGGTCTCTGCAGCTGCCACGGCCACACCGCTCTGCACTGCTGGAAGGAACTCGGAGAGATCATCCTGTCCACCCGGGCGGGGCTGCTTCAAGTTAGTTCCTTGTCTTTAGTCTATTTTCGGATAATTCCTGGCAAGTGAAATGTTCACAGGGCGCCCCTTTCCCATGACTGCCTACAAGGTGTCATTAGAAAATACTCCCTTTTAACGTGAGTCATCACACAGCGTGTAGTGCAGGGGCCCGGGCTTGTCTCCCTGCAAGTGCGGTGGCTGTCGCCTTCCCCAGGCCCCCGGAATTCAAGTCAGTCTCCCCACAGCCAGACACGCTGCCCTGTGGCCCCACGGTTCTCGCACATGCGGAAACACACACTCACACTCCCACACGGCCACGGCCAGGCCCGCGTGCTCCCCAGGGTGCTCCAGCGAGTAGCCCCGGGGACAGAGATGCCCAGAGAGGCCAGGTGGCAGCGTTCTCCTCACCCGCCCCGCCGGTCAGAGGCGAGGACCGGAAACGGCCCTGAGGATACTTCCACCCTGCACCGTCCCCTCCCTCTGATGGCCACTTCTGCCCGGCGTGGCAGGAAGGAAGCGTTTCTCGCTGATGGCGGCTACCTCGCTGCTTTCTCTGGCTCAGGGTTAGCAACGGGGAGCAAGAGGAGAGCGCGGAAAGGAGCTCCTTCCCAGGAGGACTCCCCAGGGCGCCTGCCATCGGAGTGACCATGGGGGGAACGAGACCTCGGCTGGCTGAAGTCGCCGTTAGCCAATCAGCGCTGTCTCCGACCTGCCCATTAGCTGCGTCTATTGTTCCCAGGCGAGGCAGGGCCACCGGCGAGACAGGTTGGGCAGAGGAAAGAATAAAAGGCTCCAATGGAGGAAGGTGTGGAAGGGTCAGAGGAATAGAGCAGGGGTTGTCCGTGGGGGAAACCATCCACCGCTCGGGTCAAAGGAGATTCAGATCGTTTGGAGCTGGGGGAGAGGACAGAAGGGCTGTGAAGTCCAGAAGTGGCGCTCACCAGCAGAGTGACCACAGGCTAGGCAGACACTTTCCTGGGCTAGGACATAACTCCCAGCCACAACAGGAACCACGGGTTTGGGAACAACGCTGGTCAGTGCTAAGTGGAGACCACCAGCCCGGCGCCTGAGAGGAGGGGATGGGGACCTCTCCATTACCTAACGGGGGTCCCGGGGGGGCCAGAGCTGGGAACACAGGGCCCCCACTAAAATGCAGGACACTAGAAGGCCCTCTAGCCTGGGCCAAGGGTTTCCACCAACATCTCAGGGAGCCCCACCTACGAGACGGGGAACACTGAAGAGAGATGACCTAGGGTGGCCTTCGTCTCTCTGTCCCTAAGGCGCTGGGCACCAAACATTAGCAGAGCAAAGCCGAGTGGAAGAGGAGGACGGCAGTTTCCGTACATTCCAAGGTGGGAGGTTCAGTCCAAAACCGCCCGCGTGGCGCATGGACTCACGGGCCAAACCACAGATTGCCGGGCAGATGGGCCGCAGTCCTGGGAGACTGCAGATACAGGTGGAGGACAGGGATTATCTGCGCTGGGTGAGACAGAAACAGACCAGTGTGGTGGGGGAAAGCGTCCAGGTTTGGAGAGGATGAGAGGGACGAGGGCTGGAGGCTGGGCTCACGTCAAAAACGTGGAACCTGAGCTCCCTGGCTCCCGCAGGGCGTGCAGAAGGTTCGTGTGCATTTAGAGCTGAGGACAGGCGACGTGATCAGCGCGTCTCATTGCACAAACGGCGCGACCTGCCCGCACCACCGTGTCACGTGGCAGCAGCAGCCTAGCAAGCACATTTGACTGATGGCCCGAGACCCTGAGCTCATTCTGCAGGACACGACGGGTTTGGGGCTTTTCTAAACGGGAAGGAAATAGGAAGTGGGGTGCTTGAAAGGAACACCTCTCACCCGCTCAGGAGAGGGGCAGCACAGGCTGGCACGGATGCCCACGGATCAAGGCAGACTCCCTGCCACCAGAGCCACCTGCCCTAGGTCCCAGAGTGCCAGGATGGGGTACAAGGCGGGTGGGGAGCCACTTTGCCAGTGAGCTTCCAGCTGATGCACCTGTGCCCTCCCTGCGTCTCCCCTTAGGCCACCCCAGCACCTGCCATAACGGCCGCAGGAGAGGCTCTTATGTAAACTTGAGCCAGGAAGTCAGGGAAAGCCGCAGCGTGGCAAGGATGGCTCTCTCCCTGTCCCCAGGCCCAGGATGACCTCTCCCCCCTACACCCTAGCCGGGGAGTTCAGGCCCCGTGGGGGAGGACCTGGGCCCGGCCAGCTCGAGTTCTTGGGGGTGGGGGGAGTGGGGAGGACAGGGGGTGGGGGGAGTGGAGAGGACAGGGGGTAGGGAAGGACGGTGGCGGCACCCACAGCTCTGGCTGGCAAAACATAACGCAAACTGAAGGAAGCAGGGCGTGCAACAGAAATAGAATCAACCTAGGATGGCATGGGAGAGAAATGAGCGAAGGTGGGGAGGAAACCAAACGGGGCAAGGTGGCATTGTCTCCCTAAGCCCGCCCTCAGTTGCCTCTCGCCTGTCCCCAGGCCCCCAGCTGCCCGGAGCTTGACCTTGCTCAAAGACTTGCCTTTGCTCTGCCAGAGGTGAGCCCTGCTCTCATTCCCACCTGATGTAACTCAGGCTCAGAAGAGGCCCAGGAAAAGAACCCTGGGGTCCCTGCCTTGATTCTCCAGTTTGGGGCCAGGCCTTCTGCGGTGCACAGCCCTTTGGTAGGCCTCAAACCCATGACAAGAGGACCGGAGAGGAGGGACGTGGTGAGCGGGTCACCCCCTAGGCCAGGACCTGCCTGCCCGGCTTCCCACTGCTGCCCGTGTACCTCCCTCCCGGCCCCCGAGAGTGGAGACTGTTTTCTTAACGCTGAAGACTTTGAGGAGCTGCATTTTTGAGGGGTGAGGGCACAACCGGCCCACGGCACCCGCTGAGACTCCGGTCCTGGAGCACCTGGCCCTGCGCAAGGACATGCGTGCTCGTCCGCGCCGACCAGAACCCACGGCAGCGGCAGAGCTGGCGGCGGCCCCCCATGCAGCATGCACGACCACATGCAACGCGCGCCCGCCCTTTCCGGGGACGGCAGCCCCGCCGGGAGCCAGGAGCCGGCTGTCCCTGCTCCTGCTGCAGCATGCCTTCCAGGGCCACAGCTGGCCGCCCGAAGGCTGTGGTCGCCCTCTCTGTGCTCCGGGACGTCAAGCCCAGGCAAGGGCTCAGGGTGGTTCACGGGAAGTAATCTCGGCGTCACAGAAAACTGCAGCTCCAGAGAGCAGGTCAGGAGGCTGTGTGTGTGGGGGACCCTTCTAGGCCACCCAGCTGCTCAGCAGGGGGCAGATAACGTGCGTGGTGTCCTCCGGTCCCATCCTCCGCACACAGCCCCCCCGACAGTCCGGCTTGCCACCCCCGAAAGAGCGAGCCCGGAGCGTGCATCCAGCCCGGCCGCTCCCTGCGTCTCCGCCCTGGCCGGGCCGGCTGCTCCTGCCGCGCCCCACGCCACGCCCGTTACCTCCGCTGCCGGTACGGTACCTGCGGTTGGAGTAGCTTCAGAACGCGGCGCCCAAGTTGGCCACAGAGGGGAAGAAAGGATGAGAGAGGGAAGAGAAAACAGAGCACAAGTGAAACCACGGGACAAGCGAGCAGAGAGGGCTCTGGCTGGGACCCGACGCAGACGGCGTGGCCAGGTGCTGGCCGCCGCCCTGAGGACGCCAGCTGGCACTTGGGGGTTCACAGCCAACTCCGCTGGAGTGGGGCATGTTCCTAAGGCAGACTTGCCACCCGGGTCTCGGAGACCTTTTTAAATAAACACAGTTTCTACCACCTCTATTCAAGGACTAGTCACCTAAGAGGTGGCCGCAGGGACAGTCCACACGGGGTGCTATGTTCCCGGTTCTTTCCCTGATGGCCTGCCCTGCCCTGGCTGGGCTGCATGACCACTAAGCCGGTTGGGTGACCTCCATGGTGCCAGGAGCTGAGGGTATGGGGTGTAGGAGGATCCCAACACCCCAGTCAAAAGGATGGCTCCTCTATCTTTGGGGGTGGGGTCGCACAGCGCTGGTGTGGGTGGGGGGGGAGCGTGCTCAGCTGAAGCCGCCCCACACCATCTCGGCCTTGGAAGTCCTGGAAACTCGCAAGGACTGGAGCCCCGAAGCCCTTGTCCCGGCATTCTGCGATTCCCAGTTAGAAACGTTATGGAATTAGAAACCCAGTTTCTATGGACTGACAGCCCGAAATGGAATTCCTGAATTTTCTGTGAATCCCTAAGAAGAAAGTCTCTCTTTGTCCTCTTGTTCCCTGCGGCTGCAGAACTTGCCCTGTGGTGGTCACCAGGGCTGGACAACGGGGCTTTGTTCTTCTGGTGTTCTGTCCCGGGTAGAGGTGGGGAGGGAGAAGAGGCTCTCCACACATCTCCCTACATCAACAGAACTGAGTGATCAAGACAGTGCATCACATCCTGGCCAGGCCTTTGGTAACGGGCATACATTAGTCACTTACCCAAAGTGCCCCAGCCCTAATAAACGTCCCGAGAGCCTGGGGCATCGGAAGGGGGCACCAGGAGGAGGGCCTGCTGTGTGACTCCTGGTGTAGGAGACCGGAGAGGGACACAGGGAGGACTGTCAGCCTTTCTCCAGCTTCCGTGCGGCCCCTGCCCCGGCGCTGGCCAGGGCTGCTTAGGCAGCTACAGCGGGAGCCTGGGGTGGGGCGGCAGAGGCAAAGGACGCGCTGGCGCTCTCCTGGGTGGGGGTGAGGGGGTGCGCAGGAGACCCCACCTGGGCCAGGGCCAGGCCACGGGGCCTGAGGCTTCTGGGGAAGGCACTAGCCTTGGTATCTCACGGCCAGCCTCAAGGATGCGGCTCCTAGCACCCCTTTTCTGCGGAGTCTTCCCCCATTCTGGCAGAGTTAGATATTCTTATGGCCGTCTCCCCTTCTAGACAGCGTGAGCTTCTTATCACCTGTGTATCCCTTGTTTTGTGGGTGCTCAAGAAATGGCTGAATAAACCACTGCACCCCCAGAGAGGCAGAGAGAGACCCCCAGCTGTTCACAGGGGTCTGCCAACGTCAGGTTTGCAGTCTCACTTCCCCACGGGGCCTGCGCGGGCGAGCGCGGGCGCCCTCTCGTGGAGCCCCTGGGCAGGCGCGGGCCGGTGCGAGGGGAAACTCGGCCAGCCAGAGGATGCCAGGCCCCGGGTGGGCGGGAGGGACGTGAACTCATTTGCTCTTTGCGAAGCTGGCTTGTCAAACCATTTCCCAGCTCCCCCTCTCCTCTGCACAGCCTGACAGCCATTCCACTTCAGGCTGCAAGGAGGGACCACGCTCCCTGCTGTCCTCCTGGGCTCAGCAAGCAGCTCTAATCCCGGCGGCTCCCCTACCGCCATGAACCCACAAGGCCTTGGGGAAAGAGGGGCTTGGGGCACCCTCAGTCACATCCCTGCCTCCTGTGATGATAGGGGAACCTTTTCACTATTCTCCGGCTTCATTAGCATATTTACGACCACATGCGTTCCCATGCTCCCTCCCTTATTCCTCTCCAAGAAGGAGAGTGGATGGCGTTAAGTAGCTCAGCAAATCAAGAGCAAAGGGGAACCCGGGTCGGACAGCAGCAGCCTAAGGAGATCTGGGTTTTCTGGACGCAGTGCCAGCACCTACCTCTGAGCACGCAAGGCGGGCTCTCTCTTGGGGAGCGCCCGAGGCCGCGCAGCCTCATTCCCTCTCCCGCCCAGGGAGCCGCGTGCTCAGGGTGCTTCTCTGGGCATCTGAACTAGCCAGGCCCTTTCGCCCCGGGGTCCGCCGCCAGGCACCTACCTTCGTTCGGGGGCGCCGGGGACTCCTCCGTGACCGTTTCCCCAGAGCCCACCTGCGTCCTGGCGCTGAGGGTGAAGCGGTAGCGAGACACAGGGTCCGTTCTCTGCACCGTGAACTTGGTCTGATTGGGAGAGAAGTTTTCCACTATCTGCTTTCCTACTTTGGTTCCATTAACTGGGGAGAGAGAGTTAAGCGGGATTGAACATCAGCGACATTTATAGCGACGAGTTATATAATCTGCAGCTGGAAGGAGAACACCTTCCTGACTTTGCTGGGAAGAGAGACGGTGGCGCCTGCCTGGTGATCTGAAAACTCTCCCAGCTCTTTGATGATCCTGCAGGGTTAATGCTTCCTCACCGATCCTGTTTGTCCCTAGCTCCCTGCAAAGTTACGTGCCATGCTGAAAAGATTTAGCTTATAATTCCCAAGCCCTTTCAACAACAAAACTTTTGAGTTCCTTTCTCCCTTTCAAACAGAACTAGGGAAACACCACGAGGGCTTTTGACTGTTGACACCTTCTTTGTATAAGGCCTATTTAGTAAACCTCGAAGGGTGAAAGGGTCAGGCCCAGAGATGGATTCAGAACCCCAAGCAGGCACACGGCTGGCTATTAGAATTATTAACGACACAACGCCTGGCCCTTTGAGGGTCCCAGTGAGGTACACCACCTGCTTTAGTGGCTTAAAGCTTTTCAGATGTGGTGGCACTCCCTGAATGGGGACCTAGGTCCTCCTAACCCAGGCTTCTGATTCATGTCACTCCGGTTACTTGTCATAAATGACATCTTGTTAAGGTGTCCCCCAACTGTCCAGGGACTCCTGTGAGTATACTGTTGACCCCACTGGATGGAAGCTCTATTGGTGAGGAACTATCCCTCCTAGACTGTGGTTGCTGGAGACCATAAGATCCCTAAAGGCCGTGGTCGTCTCACCTATCAGACTAGAAAGCTCCCTGCTGGCAGAGCTGAGTAAGAACAGGGCTTGGATCTCGTCTGCCTCCCCCAGTCCAGTGGGGAACTCCTTCCTCCGCCCCTCCACGCCCTCTGCACCCACGGGCTTCCTACCATGAGTCTTAGGAAAAGTGGTGAGAATGGGGTTCCCTGCTCTCAGACTACCTAAGGGAAAGAGAGAGGGAGAAGGGCGGAAGGAACGCACAGGCGACGTATCTGAGAGTGTATCCGGTCAGGATCCCGTTGGGGTGTTCCGGATGATCCCACTCGAGGTTGATTGTCTCCAGGTTGGGCTGCCGGACTCGGAGACGCCTGGGGGCGCTGGGTACTTGGGGAAGGAGGAGAGAGCAGGGGAGATGAGGGGGGAAGGAGGGGAGCGGAGTGGGGAGGATGAGGAAAACACAAAAACAAAGCACAGTATGAAGGCATTGACCTCGGGCGCCCCATGCCGGACACTGCCACACTCGGGCCCGGGAGGACCTGAGGTGGCCAGAGCTCACGGCCCCATCCAGGATGTCGCTTCCCCCAGGTGTGAGGACGAGACTGGCTCAGTCTACTGTTTAGATGGGGAAGACGTAGATGAAACTCTTCTTTAGCAACCACTCTGGATTCAGCACACGTTAGGCTCTGAGCCTGCACAGAGACCTCCCAATGGGGCAGAGCCGTCCTAGGCAGGGAACCACTGGTGGCTGTTTTGTATGGAGGGTGCAGCGCCCAGTCGAGGATGCTCACCGCCGGCCCGGGCTGCCGAGCTGAGAGTGCGGGCTCAGGGCTGGGCGGAAAGAAACCCAGGATGGAACACTTGGGAAGGGGGCGCGGGCAGGAGTGATGGGGAGAGGCTGATGAGGAAAACCAAACGGAGGGGGAGGGAAAGACAGGAATAAAGAAAACAAGAGGGAAGAACAAAGGAGAGGAGAAAGGAAGAAGAAGAGAAATGGGGAAAATAACAGTTAAGAAGGGAGGGGGAGAAACAGAAAGGGCCAAGCAAAGGCAAAGCAGATACAAGGCTGGCAAGAGGCCGGGCGCGGTGGCTCACGCCTGTAATCCCAGCACTCTGGGAGGCCGAGGCAGGACAATCGCTCAAGGTCAGGAGTTCGAAACCAGTTTGAGCAAGAGCAAGACCCTGTCTCTACTAAAAATAGAAATAAATTAATTGGCCAACTTAAAATATATAGAAAAAATTAGCCAGGCATGGTGGCACATGCCTTAGTCCCAGCTACTCGGGAGGCTGAGGCAGGAGGATTGCTTGAGCCCAGGAGATGGAGGTTGCTGTGAGCTAGGCTCACGCCACGGCACTCTAGCCCGGGCAACAGAGTGAGACTCTGTCTCAGAAAAAAAAAATGGCTGTTGAGAGCGGACAGGAGGACCAGGAACTCTGCAGGCGCCTGTACCTAGGACCTCCAGCCATGCACCTGCAGAAGGCAGGGGCTACATCCGGGCACCCTCTGCAGAGCCACCCCCCACCCACGGGCCGAACATCTCAACAAAAGCTCCTTGGCGACGTGGGGCGAGGACTGTGAGGGTCTTGGGTGGACACGGCGGACAAATCGGACGGCTCCAGTGGGCAGGCTGGCCGTGCTGCGCTCTGCCTCGGGCGGTGGAGGGGCAGCGCCCTCAGGGGTCAGTCTGCATAGCCTGTCTGCAATTATGTCATCAGACCATGCAGGTCTTCTCTTGAGACACAACCTCCCGTCTGGGCAGGTCACGGAGGCAACGGCGCTCTGTTGGGATGGTGGCAGCTGCTCAGCTTGCAGGTCCTCGGCTCCTCGGGGCCTTGAAGAGGTCACCTGGGTCGTCCGTGCCGAGCCACGAGGGGGCTGCTCCGGGCCCGCCTGAGTGCTAGCCTCGTCCTGCCCCACCCTGAAGAGCTGCAGCCAGACCTACCTCCTTCCGGGGTGGTGAACTCCTTGGTCTCACTGCGAGGCCCATCGCCTCTGCCATTGACCACAACCATCTCCAGCTTGTAGTTGCTGTAGGGGAAGAGGCGGGACACCACGCCCCGGAGGCGGTCACCAGGGAAGCTGGCTTGCTGTCTCTTCTGAGACACCCACAGGTTCTTCAGCAAGCTGCTCTCCCGCCAGTAGTAGGCCTTGGGGACAGAGCAGGCCGGTGAGCGAGCGCGGGCGGGCGGGGCCGGGTTAGTTGTTAGTGCTGCTGGCGGTGACTGGCCTTCCCTCTGCTCGCTACGGGCTCCAAGTCCCAGATGACCCCGTGGGCCCCACACAGGGCTGGGGGAGCAGCCCCGCCGTCCCCACTCCTTGGTCACTAGTGAATATGAATTTACGGCAAACGAGAAATAGGCTGTTTGGTTCCAATCGTTCCTGACCCGTGCCACCTCTCTGGGGGACGGCGCCTCGGCCCAACTGACATCTGAGCTGCCGCTCCATCACCAGGCTCATCTCCAGGGTGGGTGGCGGGTTGCTCGGGGAGTCCGTGCCAGGACCGCACGTGGGCCAAGGGTCCAGGCATGGAGAGCTCCGCTCGGCGCTCACAGACCACGTCACTCGAGCTGGATTAGTACGGTTTAGACGGGCAGCAGGCAGGCGTTGAAAAGTAGCGGGTTGCCCCCCCCAGAAGTCTGAATATGGGAAAGGGTTGATTTAATCCTTGGAAGTGAAATGGTTTCTTTTCACGTGGTTTGAAGACATTTAGGGATGAGACAGGTTCACGTCTGAGAGACAGTCACAGGCCCAGGTGAGGGGGTGCTGGCGGAGCGTGGATGGGACAGGTCGGCTAAGGAAGGTGGTGTGGTGCACGGGACGGTGGAGTGAGTTTGCCACAGGAGGTCAAATTAGCAGTGGGGACGAAGCCAGGGGTCAGGCTGCCCCACCAGTGTCACCCAGGCTCCCCCGCAAGGCAAGGGGGAGTCCAGACTTACAGGGGGACCCAGTGGAAGCTTTAGCCAGAACACTCTCCAAGCGGGCAGGTTAAGGGCATAAGTCAACCGCTGGGCAAGAGGACACATCGCCTGGCCTCCCCAAGCTTGCCACATTCACTTCCCAAGAAGAGACTGGCCTCTTCTGCTCTGCCCCCAGCTGTCTATCAGCCAACTCCTGGCGACCTCTGAGGCCACGCGGCCGGCGCCAGTCACAGTTGCAGCCTGCCCCACTTCCCAGCCAACCTCTAAGGCTACTCCCAAGGGACAGCCTTGTGGACCCCGAGTTTTCTCTGCCCCTTCCCATCTCAGCCCACCCTTTCAAAGAGGAGAGATGGCTGAGCAGGAACTGCCCACAGGCAGGGGGAGCGAGAGAAGTCAAGGGCCTCGAAATTCACATCCCGCACAATCCAGAGTTGGCTGTGGCAACAGGGAGGGTGTCTGCACCCGTTCAGTGGCCTTGCCTGTCACCCGTGGCTTTGTGAAACCAGACTGGGTGAGGCAAGCAGACCAGGAGGGGCCACCGGGAGAGGGGCGGGGTGCAGCCCAGCGCTGCCTCGACTCGGCTTCTGAACATCCAGCTGTGTCCACTCCCACGTGCATTGCAAACACCACCTGCTGTGCGACCAGCCCAAACCCACCACCCTTCATGGGATTTTTTTTTTGCTGAGCAGAATCTCTCAGAACACATCTGGGTTTATATTTTTTTTCTTGGCACATTTTTGAATAGCTCACCCTAGATGTCACCTTCTTGATCCAACATACACCCTTAGGATCCCTTCCAAATATGCTACCCCTTGCCCTGGTTAGTGAGCGGGGTGGTTAGGTGGGGCTGGGGGCTGGCTTCCTCACTCGGTACTCTCTGAGCTGGCCCTGGACCGTGTCAGGGTAGACGCGGTTCCACTGAAGGCTGATGGCTGTGCTGTTCGTGACCCGGACTTTAACTTCAGTGGGTGCAGCCCTGGGATCTGCAAGGTGTTGGGACAGAGAGCCGGTTACCGGGGCAGAGCTGGCCCCAGGACTCTAGGGGCCCTTCCTGCCTTGTTCTCTGCTGGCCTGGACCCCCACTGCACTCAGCACTCCACGAGGGCAGGGGCTGTGCCTCCTCCATCATACTGTACTTGAAAGAGTCGGGGGGAGGCTCAGGACAAAAGGGTGCCAGCCAGTCCAGGTGGGAGGGACTCTGCCTATGCGTATAAAGGGCAAGGACCTGCTTGCTACCCACCTGTGCTGCAGTTTCCATCTGCCCTTCCATGCCATCCTCCGCCCTTCCCCACCTGCTCCATGTCCTGGGAGGCTGCCCTCTGTGGACCGTATCAGCTGCACTCCCTGTTCTCAGGCCTCCAGAGGGTTTGGCCAATAGGAGGCACCAAGAGGAGACCCCGGAGCAGGAGCCGAGGGCAAGGGGGTGTCGGTTCCCCTGGCTTCCTCTTTGCTGGGCCAAGGTTGACAGCTTTTTTGCACCCTTGCACCCAAGGCCACGGCTTCTGAAGGTGGTCCTTGTGGGTTGTGGTGACTCCTCCGTGCCCCGCTCCTTCAAGGCTCGAGGGGTACAATGGCTCCTGCTGCTGCTGCTGGAACCCTCAGACGGTCCACGCACCTCGCTGTGTTCCCTCTAGCCCCGCCCACACATCACGAGGAGTCCCTTTCGAGAGTGCATCTGTTTCCTGCCAGCACCTGGCAGGAACCTTACCCACAGATCGAAGGCACCCTCGCCGAGATCAGGAAGCGATTCTGAGCCCGGCTGCCTGGAGAAGGCAGCCCATGCCGTCCCCCATAACTGACTCCTGCCCCCGTTTGCCACACTCCGCTGCAGGGCAGCTCGGCACACTCTCTGACCCATCGGAGCACAGCCCCAGGGGCAGACCCCACGACAGAAACTGGGGGGGTCTACAAAGCTGGATGCTGCCTTTCCACTCACAACCCCGTGGTCCCCACCGGGCTCCTACCTGCATGTGCCGGCACCGTGGAGGGGAGGAGCGGGACAGACTCCCGCTCATCTCCCTCGGGAGTCCAGTCATAATCACCTCCGGGAAGGAGGGCCCAGCCCTCGCTCCTCCCATCTCACCATTGTGGACACGGTGTCTCTGCTCTTGACCCCAGCACTGCCCTTCTGAGTCCCCTCGTCCCCAATTCTGTCCCTCCTCCTTTCCTCTGCTCACTGCATCCGCCTACATGATTGCCACTTAGATCACACCCAGACCCGACAGGGCACGGATCGTCCTGAGCCAGGAGGGGACTCCACGGACCCTCCTGCTAGGCTCCGCCGCCTGTGGGACTCACGTGCTGGGGACAAAGAGGCCACCACCGTCTGGGCAGCCAGGCGCACGCTTCCACACACAAGCCCGGAATCCCATTGCTTTCCCGGCCCCAGCCTCCAAACACCTTCTCTTCTTAGGCTCAAGTCCAAGGGCTGGGAGCAGCGGTGGGAACGCTGGCAGTGGCTGGTGCCCTGGGGACCTGCTACACCCCTCAAGGCTGTCCCTGGAAGCCCGTCGGGGACTCTGGCCTGTGGCCCTCCTTCCCGTGGAGGCGTCCAGTTATAGCTGTTTGGGACGGGTAGTCCCGAGGCCTTTCTTGGCACGGGCATGGCTCAGTAGTAAGGCAGCCAGCCCCGGGGGTGTGAAGGCCTGGGCTCTGCTTACTGTCACCTAGCGCGGCCACCGGGTCTCCCTTCCAGGGCCCCCGTTTGCACATCTGGACAATGACAGTGCCAGGCTAGGTGACGCTGTCAGGATTCCTAACCAGTTTAGGATGGTAACATTTCCACTCCTGACATCATCAGGTGCCTGTCCACTCCAGGTCACCACAGGGGGACTTCTCTTTCCTGGGACGTGGCTGTCCCCCCACAACCCACCCCAAGGTTCCTGGCCTGTGAGAGTGGCCTTGTCCGGCCTAGCCGGGAGGGTCCTGCATGGGGGATGGGGAGGAGGTTACTCACAATCTTCTCCGGAGTAACCAATGACAGTGTCTGGCTCAGGGCCCTTCCCAAAGTCATTTTCAGCCTGGACGCGGATCTCATAGGGCACGTAGACGGGGGTCTGCCCCACCACGTAGCGAGAGCCCCACACCGTGGCGTTGTTCCAGGCCTCTCGGGTCTCTCTCCGCCGCCACTTGACAATGTAGCGCAGGTTGGGGCCGAAGGCCGAGGTGGCGTTCATGGGCTGGGCAGAGAGACAGACAGACGGGGTGGAGAGGCTGCAGGGGAGGCGTGCGGATTCGCCCAGAGCTTGCCCTCTCGCTCCGAGCCAGGCACCCCCCTTTCCAGGTCCGCCCGACACCAGCCGGCCCCGTGCAGGGGAGGGGACAGCACACCCCCTTCCCCGATGGGTCCCCAAAGCCCAGAGTCCCATGACCCCAGCAGCATGAAGGTTTTCTGTAATGAAGGCTTCACCCAAGACCTCGTTCCTTTGGCTCTGAGAGCCACCCACATTCGCAGGTGCCAAGCTGTATTTCCAGCAGAACGCCGTCCCATGCCAGGAGCAACAACAAAACACAATAAAATCTCCAAAGTCAGAAAGGATGGGTTCTGGTTAACCGCAGCGCTCCTCCTGCCGATGAACTCAAATTCCAGAACTGACTTGACTTCTACCGCCGAATCCTACGTGTCTGTCCTGACCTTCCCACAGGCCAGAGTTCTTTCTTACTTTCTTTATTTTTGAGACAGAGTCTCACCTCTGCTGCCCGGGCTAGAGTGCCGTGGCATCAGCTTTGCTCACAGCAACCTCAAACTCCTGGGCTCAAGTGATCCTCCTGCCTCAGCCTCCCGAGTAGCTGGGACTACAGGCATGCGCCACCATGCCCGGCTACTTTTTTCTATATATTTTTAGTTGGCCAATTAGTTTCTATTTTTTTTTTTTTTAGTAGAGATGGGGTCTCACTCTTGCTCAGGCTGGTCTTAAACTCCTGACCTTGAGCGATATCCCCCTGCCTCAGGCTCCAAGAGTGCTAGGATTACAGGCATGAGCTACCACACCCAGCCTGGACCAGAGTTCTTTAAAGGTGGGTCTAATTCTGTTTTTGTCCTGGCCCTGGGTCAGTCCCCTGGGAGCTGCCCTGCAGAGCCCGAGACCAGCTGCCTTGGGTCTGGGCTTGGCCTCTTGCAGTTGTTCTGTTGGCCCCGGCTGTGTCGTGAGTCCAGGCCCTCGGAGAGACAGGGGTGGCTCTGCTTCCACACAGCGCGTCTCCCATTGCCATTCCTGGGGCAGCAGCTCAGAAATGTTAATATTTTAGCGGCTGCATTTGCATCTCTCAGGGTTGGAAGTGGTTGGGAAAAAGTGCCATTTTGAGACCACATACCCCAATTTTGGTTTAGCAAGTCTACTCAGTGAGCCAAGATGAAGATGGGATCTTACAATCCTAACCTGGTGGTGGTGGCTTTTATAGTCATTGAGTCCATTCCCTGAACGAAAGAAAGGTCCCCACCGGACACATCTCAGAAGCTGGTCTCTGCTCCCTCCCAACGCCCTCCAACGAAAGTGCCCCAGGACACACCACACCTTCTTGGCATGGTGTTTTGCTAGATCTTTCCTAAAGTCTAACCTGAATCCCTCCTTCTTCAGCAAAAGTCCATTGGATTTTGCTGCATGCTCTATGAATTTTGCCTGGCCGGCAGTCTGTGCACAACTGGGTCACCTCTGCTCCTGTCTCTTCTCTGCTATCGTGCTCTTAGACGTTTGTCCTGGTTGGATGCCCAGCGCAGAGAGGAGCTTGGTTTCTTACAGAAGGGTGGCCACCAAGACCAGCCAGAGAGTCTGAAGCACACGGCGGCCTCGGGGGTGACTCAGGTGTGCAGGGACGGCTCCCAGGTGCCAGGTGAGCAGACCCACGGCAGGGGGGGCCGGGCGGGCTCTTACCGTCCAGGTGATCTCCATGTTGTTCTTCCTGGTCCCCTCTCCCCTCACGTCGCCGGGATTGGACTCGGGGGCTGAAACCCAAAGAGACGCAAAGCTCAAGTTCAAGTCCAATCTGTGCCTCGCCAGGGCACGGTAAGCAGCCCTTCTCCTCCCGCGCAGTGGGTTCCTTCTCTGTGCTTTCTCGGCCCTTGTATCCACACCACGCCCCACGTGCGGCTGGGCCCACCCTGCCTTGTTCTCGTGTGCGTGGTGTGTCTTGCTAGCCAAGCTTTAACCCCCCAGAGCAGGGCTCATTTCTTTTGAGTTTTAATCCCTCACCAGGCAGCATTTGTCGTCGGGCTTGCACACCGTGGGTGGTCAGTAAGCCAACTCTCTGGGGATCATCCCCTTTGTGGGTTATCCGCTCAATATGTTTCCTGCCAGACGGGTTCACCCCTGGCATTTAGCATCTGGGGAGCATCTTCTATGAGCTGGTGTGATTTCAGAAATCTAAACGCCACCCAAGTGCGTCAGGAAAAGAAATCCGATCGTAACACCGGATTATACATTTCTGCTGCGTGTCTTTGTTGTAGCTCTTCCCTTTAAAGCAGACCATCAGGAATTATTAATAATTTTAGCAGCACTAAAGATGGCAGTTAGCGTTTACTGTGTACTCGCTGTGTGCCAGGCATCGTGGTTAAGCACCTGACACGCATTTTCAAGTTGTCACAAAGGCTCCGTGACGTAGGTGTTGTTACTGTCCTCTGCTTTGCAGACGAGGAGGCTGAGCTATGGGGAAGTCACTTAACCTGCCTCAGCTCACGTGGCTGGGAACTGGGGGAACCCGGTTTGAGCGCGGACGCCTGGTTCTAGAACCTTCTCTGGTGGCCCTCAAGTACTCACGTGCTCCACTGGTCCGGTAGCGCTCGGATGGGAGGCTGGGGTGGCTGCTCCCAACCTCGTTGATGGCAATGACCCGGAACTGGTAGTTGACATACGGGGACAGCCGGAGGACGGCCGAGTTGACGCTGCCCGGGAACTTGGAATGGTCGTGCCAGACCCCGGGTTGGAACTGGTCCTCTTCAAACTGGACGACGTAGTCTGAGTGGGCAGGGAAGACAGAGCGGTTTCGGGAGCCGAGTTTGCGGTGCTCTTCTTTAAAAGCACCTCCTCCCTGCCTGCCACGCGTCTCCCTGATGGAGCCAAAGGCGCGGGGAGAAGTCGTCCCGGGACAGGGGAGGGGGAATCAGTGCATTCTGAGCATTCTGGGGCATAGCCCAGGCTTCGTGCATCCTGAGACTAGAGCCCAGGACGCACGTCGAGTGATGCGGAGGCAGGACCAGAAACCGAGGCAGGCCTCGGGTTCACGGATGTCACCGTCCCTCTCTTCCGGGTGTGGAGCGCAGGGCCCCCGAGCTGACCTGTGATGGGGCTGTTGTTGGCGTCCCCCGGGATCCAGGTCAGCCTCACGCTCCTCTCGGCCAGGTCGGTGAGCTCCAGGTCCCGGGGCCGGTCTGGCCGTCCTGGCGGCAGAGGGAGGAGACACCACGCAGGGCTCCTGAGTCAAGCTGGCCCGGCCTTGTGCGGGCCCTTGCCCCATGACAGGTCCCCGAGGGGCTCAGGTCTTCACTTCCAGCGGGACCCAACCCCAGCCCGCCCAGAGGGGCGAGCACAGGGACCACCCCCTTCCCTCAGGGGAGGCGGAGGAAGAACAAAGGGGAACCTCCAAATTCCAACCCCCCACTGAAGGGGTATCAAAGGGCGCAGAGCAAGAGAATGAAGCGGACTCCGTGGGTCCCAGGGGACAGGGCGCGGCCACCCAGCTCTGTGGGTCAAGAGCGAGTGTGTTTGGAATCGCTGCCTTTCTCCTGAGACCCGTGCTCACTACGTTTAGGAAGGTGATGGGGAGGTGAGCCATTTGGTCCCATTTTCTCATGATAATTATCCTCTACTCTGTGTGCCAAGGCTCCGAGGGGACCGGAGCCCAGGGAGGGGTTTGGAGAGCTCAACCGGGCAGACAGGTTCTGGGAAGGGGGCAACAAAGACAGAGGACCAGGCCAGGGAGGAGGAGGCTGGGTCTAGAAGTTTCAGTGATGGACGGAGGCGGCCCCAGCAGGCTTGCAAGCAGGGGGGAGGGCAGCGCCTCTTTGGGGCGCTCACCTCACTGGGTGTGCTTTAGTGGGTGCCATCCCGGCCTGGGATGCAGCCATCCCGGCACTGACGGGGGTGGGGCAGGTAAGATTTGTTCTCCCTGAGAGTGACTCCCTGAGTCCAGCTGTGCTTGTTTTTCAGCTGGGCTCTGGAAGGACCCAGAAGGGGAGTCCCACGAACCCATTCACATGTGCGCGCCACGTGCGTGCAGATTGCAAGAGACACATCGTAACAGACGCGGGAGGCTGCAGCATGAGGGGCCTACAGACGATCTGAAGGGGGTGGGCTCTTCTGCCTGGCCCCTAAACATTCTGGGGAGAACAGGCCACCCCACGGGAGTGGTGAGCGTGGCTAGGGGTAAGGGATGGGGTGGGGCAGCCCAGGACCTGGGAGCTCAGTGTGTACCAGGAGCAGGAAGACCAGGGCAGGGCTGAGCCATGGGCTTGGGGAGGTGGAAAGGAAGTGAAACATGGCGGGGAGTTGGGGGTGTCGCCCAGGAGCCCGTGCAATCGTCTCCTGAAGGGACCTCCTCCTCCTAGTCCCCTCCCATAAGCAGCCGGGGAGGTGCTGGCAAGGGCCCGGGATTAGTACGAATTACCTTTGGGCAGGGCAGCCAAACCGTTAGTTGTAGTGGTCTGCTCAGCTGCAAAAGTAAGACGGGTTATCCAGGTTAGCAGGTTAGCCAGGGTTAAAGGTGTTCTAGAAGGATGCAAATAGGTAGCCAAGGCCTGAGCAGCTGCCCCTGGGCCAAGGTGTTCTAGGCATGGCTTCGCTCTCCCTTCCACGGAGAACCCCCACCTTACAGAGGCCGTCTTGTGTTTCCTCCATGGGCTGGGGCGGAACCTCTGTTTCCTCCCCACCCCGATACTGCACCCCCCCCCTTCCAGCAGCTGTGCCTCTCCACTGCACCAATGCTAATGGCAGCAGGGCACCCAGCGGGAAGACGGAGGTGACAGGGGACAGACAGCAGGGGCCTGCTTCCCCGGAAGGGAGAGGTCTCCTTCCCCTTGGTTTGGGACAGCTGAGTGATCACAGTCCAGTCTGGACACAAGGACAGGAAGAGACAGCCTCATCTTGTTCAGGGCACAGCGCACCGTGAAATGCCACCAAAAACCGGGAACAGGGTGGGAGGGGGAGGAAAGCTGGCGGAGGTCGTTGGAAGCACAAACACCAAACTCAGTCTTGTTTTAATGATGGATCGTTTTAATCGACTTAGTGGTTTAGAGTTAGCTGTAAGAAAGGTAGAAATGATCACAACAAGCAACTCCTTTCCACTCTCTGTCACTCAGGCACCCTCCAGCTGAGACCTGGGGGAGTTAGTGATTCCACCTGGGCTGTAAGCTGTGCCCCCCAAAGCTTGCTCTGGAAGCGGTGGCTCCCTAAATCCTGAGATCAAAAGGCGGGAGAGGTCACCACGCCTGGCCGGCCCTCTGGGCGCAGGCAGGGCCCTCGGGACTGTCCGGGGCCGCTGCTGCTCTGGCTGCCGGGAGGCCGGGCGGGGCGGTCAGCGCCAGGGCGAGCAGCGACAGTTACCTAGCACAGTGAGGGAGGCCTTGGCCAGGTCCTGGTCTAGCTCAGTGCTGGCGACACACGTGTAGCTGCCCTGGTCCCGCTCTGCCACGCCAAAGATGGTCAGGGAGTCGTCCTCTTTCTTCATCCTGCAAGGGGACCGCAGAGGGCTTAGGAGCGTGTGGGGGTGGGTGCTGGGCTCTGCCCACTGCGTGCTCCCTAGAGAGGGACTCTCGAGTCAGAAGGAAGAGGGGCGTGTCACAGGCTGGGCTCGGAAGGCTCAGCACCTCCCAGGGGAATATGAGGTCCCAGCTCCATGAGGCATCTTCTCAGTCACCGGGAGCACTTCCAGTACTCGACGGAGGGGAAAAGAAAGCGGGCGAAACTTAGGTGGCCCTGAACCGTGTTTGGTGCCTTCCAATTCCACCTTGTGTCTTCTTCTGTTGTTGTTCTGTGCCCCCCTCCCAAATTAGGGCACTGCTAGACTGACCCCCCCCTAAAATGCAGATCAGTGCTCCTCTTCTTACAGCTCATGCATCCTCAACCCAGACTCATCTTCTCTGCACCCAGGCTTAGGCCGGCCCGCCCCAGGGCTGCCTGGAACTGTCTCCCACAGCGGGAGGAGGGCGCCCCGAGCAGGATGGGCTGTAGTGCTGTCAGCACCAGCTGGGCGAGCGCTGGAAGGCCTGTGCCCACCTGCACCCCCTGCAAATGTCAGGAGATGGCTGGAAACAGCTGGTCCTAAGTCCAGCTGCAGGGCCCTGTCCCGCCTAGCCCCCGGGATGGAGCAGGTACAGCAGAGACAGTTGCAGGGACAGAGGCTCCTACTAGCAGTTCTCCACCAAGGCTGCACATTAGAAACCCCCAGGGGGGGCTTTTAAGCGCTACCAAGGTCCTACCACAGTGATATTATCAGAATCCGGGGCGAGGGGAGGGGCAGGCATGGGGGTCCAGGTGCAGGAAGGACGGAGGACCCCGCTAACCATCGTGCAATGAACACAGTCGGCTCGGGCCAGCCCTGCCCTCTGATGGAGGACAGCGGTACTGCAGGCAGGGCCGCAGGTGGGGGCTGTGACGTAGCAGAAGAGGAAGGAAAAGAGGACGGGAGACAGGGATGGGGCAGAAAGAAGAGAAGGGAGAAGTGAGAAGGGAGGGCAGAGTGAGAGGAAGGAAGTGAAGAGAGACAGGACTGGGGAAGAGAGAAGGGGCAGAACACAGACAAAGGTGAGAGAAGCAGGGAGCTGGAGGCAGGGAGGGAGAGGGACGCAGGGGGGAGGTGGCCCGAGTTGGAGGAGTCACCCAGGACATCCTCGCGGCTCATCGGTGACATGCAAGGCACGGGTTCCCTGACTCTGGGCTCTTCAGTGTGTCACCAAGAGCAAGGGGAAAGGAGAACGTCCCTCGAGCTAGCACCAGGGAGAGAGAGGGAGGGGAGGCAGAGGAACCTGTTTCCAATGTAGAGTGGCTCGTCATCCTTCAGCCAGGAGACGGTGAGTTTCAGGGACGGGTCGTGCTTCACGCGGCACTCCAGCTGCACAGTGGTGCCCCTCTTGGCAGTCTGGTCCTCAGGCATCCGGTAGATCCTGGTGGGGTCTGTGGAGAAGCCCAGGGAGCTTGTCACCGACCCGTTCTCTGCCCGGCTCCCCATCCCCCACACAGTGGGACACGCCGGACCAGCCACGGAAGGTGGCATAAGTAGAATGCAGCTGTACAAATGGAGGGGAGTCTCGGGCTGGGTAGCCCCCCAATAGCTATGAATCCCACAAATCCCCTTGGGAACATATGATGCAATTTCTGGGGCAGTCATGAGGAGTTGGCGTGGGTAGCAGGTTTCCCTTCCTAATTCCCTCGAGACCAGGCTGATAATAAAATGCCTTGGTGGTCCCAGCACCTGCGTCAGCAAGGAAGACACACAGACACGCACACATGCACACACACACACACACGCACACACACATAAGCATGCATGCACGCACACATGCACACACTGAGGAGCCCACACAGGATTAAACATCAGGCGTGTGGTGCATTTTCAAAGTGACACTGCATGGGGGTCACGGCAAGCAGGGCTTCCCTGCCACAGTCTGGACTCCCACCCTCGAACCTCTCCTGTACCTTTGACCTCCAGGCGGACTTGGTTTTCAGCTTTGCCCAGGATGTTGGTGGCGACACAGGTGTAGATGCCTTGGTCCTCTTTGCGGATCATCTTGATTTCCAGACTGCCGTTCTCGTAAACATGGTAGTTGCCACCATCCAGGTTGCTTCCTTGCCCATTCTTAAACCTCACAACAGAGCAGCAGGACACACAGCATACTGAGAAGGGGCCGGCCGGAGCAACCAATCCAGAGGGACCGTGGGGGGCGGAGGGGCAGTGGAAAGAGCCCCAAGTTTGGAGTCCTGAGCTCTGAGCCTTGTAGGCCTGCCTCCAACCACTAGGTGGCCCTGGCAAGTCTCTGCCCCTTTCTGGACCTTGGTTTCCCTTTCTGGACAATAAGGGGGTTGACCCAGGTGACCTGCCAGTTCCTCCCAGCTTCAACCCTTTAAGGTTCCCAGGTCTTGCTGAACAGCTATCATGGGCCAGGAGGGAGCTAGAACGTGAGACAGGTGACCCTCGCTGGGGACAGCCTGGCCTTCTGGAACTTACCATCGGAGCGTGGGGATGGGAGACCCAAAGAACGGGCAGTCCAGCCGTGTCCGGTTGTAAAGGATCACCCTGATGAGCTGGTTCCGTGGCGACAGCATCCGAGGAGGCACATCTGAAATTCCCAGGGAACCGATCTTGGGTGCGGAGTCTAATTCTTCCATATCTTCCCCTTCGGTCTCGCCTACGCTTTCTCCTTACAGCGGCTCTCCACGCACCAAGACTCCTCTCCCACCAACCTCCCCACCATCAAGAAGGCTCTAGGCATTAGGTGAGGAAGGGTGAGTTTGTCCATCCGTCCTCAACCTACCCTACAACATCCCATCCAGCTTTTGCAAAAACTTTCCCCGCACTGCCCAGCAGGTTCTGTGGCTGCCCCTGCACAGCCCTAAGACATCTCCTGGCTCCCTTTCCACCACTGTCTCCCTGCTCAGGGGGTGCAGTGCACACACTCAGAACCATTTCCCACCCTGGGATCCAACCGAGAAGCTGGGCAAAGTCACCATGGATGCGGCAAGGACATGGGACAGACCCACTCTCGATCCCCAGGGAAGGCAAGGATGAAGACTGACTCCGGTGGAATTGAGTCTGTCTGCTCATCCAGCTCTGGGCATTTTTTTTTTTTTTTTTTTTTTTTTTTTAGTCTGACTTTGTTGCCCAGGCTAGAGTGAGAGCCAGGGCCGCAGCCTAGCGCCCTTTCTCTTCTATTCTAGTTAACTTAGCTAGTGATCTATAAATTTTCTTTATTTTTTTCCTCAGCCTCCTGAGTAGCTGGGACTACAGGCATGCGCCACCATGCCTGGCTAATTTTTCTATATATATTAGTTGGCCAATTAATTTCTATTTATAGTAGAGACGGGGTCTTGCTCTTGCTCAGGCTGGTTTCGAACTCCTGACCTCAAGCAATCCGCCCGCCTCGGCCTCCCAGAGTGCTGGGATTACAGGCGTGAGCCAAGCTCCGTGCATTTTAAGTGCTGCACGCTTCCTACAAAGCTCACCTTCAGTGGGCTCTTCCCCAACCCCACATCCTCTGACCTCGCCCGGCCTGGCCAGTCTCTGGAGAAGAAATTGTGCCCTGTGATACAACCAAGCCCGGGGCGGCCCCATGGCAGGAGAGCAGGGGGCGGGGAGGGGCGCGCTCACCCAGCACGCTGACGAAGGCGTTGGCCAGCAGGTAGCCGTGCTCGTTGGAGGTGTTGCACTGGTACACCGCCCTGCTGCTGATCTGCGTGTCCCGGAAGATGATGGTGTCACCGGCCACCTCGCGGTTTGGGTTGGGTGGTGCCGCTACAGATGAGAAAGAGACACTCCCTGTGTCGGGCGAGGGGCGCTTGGGGCTCAGGCCACGGCTCCCGAGGACGACTGGGGTGCTGTGCAGGGCACGGGGGGAGGGGGGGGGAGGTCCCAGACGGCCCGGCTTCTGGCCTCACCCCTGCCGGCCTGTGTGATCTTGGCCCTCTGCCGAACCCGCTGGAGTTTATCTCTAGTCTAGCATATTGGGAATACGAATTCCCGCTCGACCTACGTAACAGCCGGGCAGGTGTGGCTGAGAATGTACAGTCTGGAAACGGAGAGGGGTTTGAATCCCGACCACATCACCTACAGCCCCACTCAATCCCCTACCAGTTCTGTCTCCTTGTCTGCAGAATGGGAAGAACATACCACCTCGTGGCAATGCCGTGATGACGCCTGAGATTTTACGCACGTACAAACCGATTCGCAGAAGGCCTAGCACACACTGATTATTGTCATCATCATCCAATACATGTATACGTAAACGTGTTTTGAAAAGGATGAGGCAATATACAGACAGACGGGCCTGCCACCTTCCCATCCTCCGAGCAGAACCTTCTCCAAACATTCACGAAGGTAAACTGGCGAGCCAACGCCTGCTGAAAACTGAAAGAGCCCTTATATTTGCCCAAACTCCCAGGTCTTCCCAAAATACGTATCCCTAAGCTGAGAGGGACATTTCCCCCATGGTTCTCCCAGTACTGCTGGCTCCGGGGGAGCAGAGAGCAGGGGCTGGGGACGGGCTGGGGGGGGTCTTGGTTCTGTCCACCCATCACTCCGGAATCTGGGGCAAGTCAGTAAATCTTTCTGAACCTCATTTCTTTCATCTGAAAAACAGAGAAGAATGATTTCCATCTTTCCTCTACTCTGAGGAAGGCTGAGATAAGAGAATGATAATGAGCTGTAAAATGAAAAAAATTTCTAGAAATGTGAACAACTACCACTGTCCTCATCTTTAACCGCTAGGTGTTTCCCTCCATAAGATTTCCGGACTAGGAAGCAGGAGATTTGGCGTGCAGAGTCCACGAACTGGCTCAGCATCACTCAGCCCTACAAAGGGGGGTTGGCAGAGCGGGACGGAGGAGTCGGGCTTGCGGGCGCCACTCCGCAGACAGCGAGTCTGCTCCCGGAACTGGGGTGTCAGCCCACGGTAAACGGAGACGAGGGCAGCGTCCTTATCATCAGTCCCTGAGTCCCCCCTCAGCAACAAGGCACTGGGCAGGCAATGCCAGCAGCCTGAACACCTCCCTTGCCTGGCAGTTCCCAGGGGACCTTCCCAGGGCCAAGGCTGAGCTGCGAGTCCTGGGCTGCACTTACTTAGTGGTGCTGTGGAGGTCAGCACCACTGCCTGCCTCAGCCCCAGAGTGCTGCCGGGACGGAGACCAGCCCAGCAGGCCGGCAGTGCCCATATATCCCCGCTCGTAGCCAGGGCAATAGTACTTCCTGGGGACAACCAGGCTCCGTGCTAGCTGGCAGAGGGGTGTTGCAGACTCACAGCAACCCGTAGCTTCACCACTCACCAGCCATCTGATCTCGGGTGATTCATTCGCTGCACCAACCAGAGCCTTGTTTCCTTGCCTTTCATGTTCAAGGTTAAAGCAATAACGGGGGGGAGGGGGTAGCCCCCAGCACAGTGCCTGGCGCACGATAAATGTCTAAAAAGCTAAGTCCTCACCCTCTCCTCTACCTGTCTGCCCTGCCCCTCCAGCTGCTGATCTTGAGTTGGATTCTGACTTCTCTCCATCTCTCTTTTGTCCCATTTGGTCGACGCCATTGTTTACGTTCCCTCTGACCCCTTAGAGAAAGTAATGACAGGACATTTGAAAGAGTAGATGCAACTGGGAGGGAATATGATGTGAAAACCGGACCAAGACCACTGGCTGGAGGGGGCCCTGGAGTTACCCACTCCATCCATCCGGGCCGGATGGAATTTCCCAAAAGTCTATGCATACTCCATAAACCACACCTGTGCACCTGCTCTCGTGGGGAAGTTCTTCCTCGTAGCCAACCATAATCTTTCACTATCATCATCATACAACTCTGCTTCTTCCTTTGCTCTCCGCAGAGAGTGGGACTCGGGTAACCAGCAACGACGGGTTGCTGAGCTCTGCTCTCCCTTCTAGGCCCCAGCCATCACTCAGAGCCCAAACCCGCGGAGATGCAGCCACAGGCCTCCAGACCCTGACCCAGGGCTCTGTAATCGTTAAGGGGCAGAAAGCAGAGACTTAAAGAAAACCCCGAGGGAGCAGAACTCCCCTAACCACGGGAACATGACCACAGGCTGGCCCCCGGCCCCCTGCTCTCTCTCGCACAAGGACGAGCTAGGTTCCTGTCTCTTGAGACGTCCGGAGCTGCCAAGCAGCAGCTGCCGGCAGGCTACTCCTTTCCTTCACTTCCCGTGAGACCAGCGCCGGCCACAGGGACGGGATCTGGAGCCTCCGACAGGAGACGGAGGAGAGTCAGGTGGGACGGCGGCGGCTTGTTACTTACACTGCAAAGGCTCCCCGTTCACCATCCACTGGACGGTGGGTTTGGGGTTCCCATTGGCTCGACACACCAGTCTCCCATCCTCGCCAGGAGCCAGGATAAGGTTCTTGGGTTCGTCCAGCCAGTAGGGAGCAGCTGGAAGACAAGGACAGGTGCGGGCAGGGGAATTAGACGGGGCAGGCAGAAGGAACCGGACAGGCTCCCTGTGGGACGGCAGGAGCCCCTGGGTCTCAGCACGAGGCCCTCGCCACCACCTGCCCCAGGGCCCACCCTCCTGGGGTGGCTCTGTCCAGCCTGCACCTGCACCGGCCGGTTGGCTGCACAGATGTGGACCTATTTCGAGTCCACAGAACAATACTTCCAAACTGGGGCTGCTCATTAGAATCCCCTGAAGAGCTTTTAAAAAACAGGGATGCGAGGGCCTGGACGAGGCCAACTAAATCAGAACCCAGGGGCGGCCTGCGTGGCCAACGCTTTCAGAGGCAACAGGAGTTTCTGACGTGTGCCCAGGGGCTCCACGGCCAGCGAAGGTGGCGAGGCAGGCACTGGGCTGGTCCCTCTGGATTTCCGTTGTCGTAGCATCAGACCACTTGGCAAAGGCCTCGTACCCATTCCTTTAGGCACTGGACTTTGATTAGAGCCGTTCTTAGCCGGCCACCCTTTCCAGTTGTTTGGATAATTTTGTGAATATGTGGAAATGTGGATTTTCACTGAGAATCTGATCTTTTTGATATTCCCCCCCCCAAAGGCTAAGAACACCCCCAGTTTGTGTGTGGTGCTGAAGCCAAGGTCACGGGATGGATCGGCCGTGTGCTAAGAAGGTTCCCGTACGCTAGTCTTAGACTTCATCATCCCAGTCATCCGAGCAGCCCCGGGCTGAGAAGTGACCGGCGTAGCCCACCATGCGTGGCCGGGGCCCTACAGACAGGTGCTCTATTGCCTGCGACAGCTCAGGTGGGCCCCCCCTCCCCCTTGCTTTTGGGGGAGGGAAGTGATTTAAAAAAGTAACTTTGGTCACGATGACTCCCCATCTTTAAAAAAGAAGCACAGCACCATGCACAAGTACACAGACAGCACGGGGCTCAGACGACACGTCACGGACGGGAATGCAGAACGAAAGAAAGGAAAGGCTCTGGGTATGACCCGAAGGGACCACGGGAGGAAATTCACCTGCTGAGGGCACCGAGCGGAGCTGGAGGAAGGTCAGGGTGGGTCCCCCTCCCCCCCACACTCGTGCATGCACACACACTCTCACCTCCAGGGTGGCACCGTCCATGGCAGGTCACTGTGGCCACCCACCTGTGCGTTGGAAGTTGACCCCACTCGCTCTGGCCCCAACCACCCTCAGAGGGGAGGGCGGTCATGGTGTTTAGGGTTGGCAAAATAATCATAATGAGAAATACACACAACGTACCCTTTACTCTCACCGAGATCGTGTGCCGGATGCTGCCCATCTTGTTGGAGGCCAGGCAGAAGTACTCCCCGGAGTCTTCCTCGGAGACGTTGGTGATGCGCAGGGCCTTGTTGAAGTTCTCAAACTTGGCCTTGTCGGATGGGAGGTCCCCACCTTTCTTGTACCACGCGATGTCTGGTGTCGGGCTGGTGGGAAACGAAGGACTCATCACGGAACGCGGCCCTTCTCTTCTACAGAGCCTGGGACGCCCAGGTGTCCTAGAAGCGCTCCTGGGCCCAGGAGGACGCTGCCCTCTAGGAGCTGATCTTTCTCCAGAGCACGCTTGGCCAGAGAGCCGGGGGACTTGGAGAAGCCCGTGAGATTCTAGCATACACACAGGTTGCCCGACCACCTCCCTTCTCATCGTCCAGAACGGAGAGGGCCAGGATGGATGGGGTGGAGAGGACTATGAACTGCAAAGTCCTGCCTGCTCAGGACCACTGGCTTCTCTTCCTGCTGTCCTAACAACACACCCCCAGACGTGGTGGCCACCGTGGAGCAGGGAGGGTGGTGGGGTGGCTGGGGCGAACGGTACGTACACCCCGGAGGCGATGCACTCCAGCAGGAGGTCCATGCCGCGGAGCACCATCTGACTGCTCGCCGTGCCCTGGGGATACATGAAGCTGGGTGTTCTTTCTGCAACTCCTCGGGCTGAAACAGGACAGAACGGACTCCCGTGAGCCCCTTCCAGAGGGCTGACCCAGCCGGGCCGACGCTGTCGGGCTAGAGAGAAACGCCATCACACGCCTCCTGCCGGACCCGCCCCACTGAAACCGCCCCCGAGGACCTGGGCGTCATTAAACGAAGAGTGTTAGGAAGCTCGGGGCTCCCGAGTGTGAGTGTGAGCGGCTCGAGGTTCCGAGAGGATCTGCCGGGAGGAGCCCGGCTCCCCTCAGAGCTCAGGAAACCTCCCCTGCCCTGCAACAGGGCAGGGGCTGTCAGAGCAGTGAGAGGTCTAGTCCCCGAGGATTTTGTGTTGAGATCCCAGAGGCCCTCGTGGTGGCCCCCCGGGGCAGGACATCTCAGCAGCAGTCCTCCCCCCAGACAGGGATGTGGAAGACAGTGGGGGTGGGGGCATGTGTTGGGGCCATGGGACAGACAGCCTGCTCTTTGGGACCCTTAAGACAAGCAGCTGGGGTGGAGCCACAAAGCCCCACAGAGTCAAAGATGCAGCGGGAGTTATTAATGGTTTAGCAAAGACACAGTGAGAATTAACGAGCAGAGATGACAGGAAATCACTCTGTGAGCCAAGGCCACTCTGCCTCCTTGCTAATGACTTTGGAAGGGGGCTGGGAAGGCAGGTGGTGATTGCATGCGAGAAATGGGGGAGGGGGGGAGAGGAAGGGTCAGCCACGTTGGGGCCGGGGATCTACAGTTTAACGAGGCTGGAGCCGTCCCGGACGTGAGATGGATGGAATTCTCGCAGGTTGAAAGGCCAGGCGGCTCGGCGAGATTGGCATTTTCAGGGTGGCTGTCTCCCCGTGGAAGGGGTCATGCCACTCCAGGTCCACCCAGAGCAGAGGGGACCCTGCCTAACCTGAGCCTCGCCTCTCCCCCAGAGCTCTTCCTACAGTCTACGGAAATGGGGGCGGTGGAAGGGAGAAGGATCTTCCACCCAGCAACCTCAAGGCGAAAGGGAAGCCGGAGGAGGCACCTCCTGCCCAAAAGACACACGGAGGGTTCAAAAACAAAAACGTAAGCTGGGCCTCCGCGTGACATTCACGGGCCTTGGACTCAGCTGGGCAGTGAGAGGTGGAGGGACGGCAGAGCTGCCCGGGCTGAGGACAAGGGCACTTCTCCTGGGGCCTAACTGGCGCTGGCAGAGCGAGGACAGCATCATGGGGGACTCTTGTCACCGCGCCACTGGTGTTTCCTGAAAGAGCTTGCTGGGTTCGATGGGGCCTGGCTGGGCCACATCAAGTCTCTTGTTTTAGGGGGACTCAGTTTCCCCCCACTGGCCACTGGCAAAGCGCCTGTCATAGAGTCTGCACCTATTTTACCTATTTGTCGGGGGAAGAAAGGATGGACCCCACACAGAGGTAATCGGGCTGCTGGCGCAGTACACAGCACACAGCGAGCGTTCGAGAGTGTGTGTGGGATACGTGGACTGAACGGGGAGAAGAAGCAGGCAGGCAGCCGTTCACCCCGCGTGCTATGTCTCTCTCTGTAGAGGTCCTCATCTGTCCCACCAGCGCACACACATACAACAGCGGCTAGGGAGGGGTTAATCCATTACGTGGTTAATTGGTCACCGTCTCTACCTACAGCTCCTGCTGCGCCCAACTCCCAGCACCCAGGAAGCCGGACGCCAGCTTCCTCCCAGCCACTGTCAGAGAACCACAGACACAGGGCGGCACAAGGTCAAGGGTGCTACGGGGAGAGGGCGGTTCTCGGGCAGGAGGCTCTGGCGTCGGCTTGGTGAATCTGCCGAGAGCTGGGAACCCCGGGACCCTATGGAAGAGGTCCCAGCTCAGCCGTCCTGCTCCCTCCGAGAGGGGACGAGATCTGCAGATGCCAGCCTGTGACCCCGTGGACATTTAATTCACACCACAGCATGCAACGCCACAAGTGCACACGGCCAGCAAAGCAACGAAGGGCGGGAGGGAGGAGAACGTCAGCACAGAGCCCCGCTGTGGGTGCCCTGACGCGCTGCGGCTGTGACCATGAGAAGGTCGCGGCAACGCTGCATCTGTAGGCTGTGGGCTGGCAGCCGCGGAGGGAAGGAGAAGCTACTGGGAAACAAGCCAAAGTTTGTTTCCTAAGACAAAAAGTCAGAGGTAACCATCAGGACCGCCGTTTGGTGAGCGTTTATGACGCACCAAGCACTGTGCTGATGGCGCTAGCTACGTCCTCGTCCTGTCGAATCCTTGAGACAAACCCTGGGGGGTGGCTTATCCCCATTTTCAGCAGAGGAAACTGAGGCTCAGTGATGTCAACAGACTCGCCGCCCAAGGTCATCAGCTAGGTCTGCTCTGGACTCTGGACCACTTCGCATCAAAAACTTTTGCTCCACGCCCATCCTACCTGCCCCTGCTTCCGGCTGTCAGCTTCGGGACTCTCTCTGTCATTCAAGCCAAAGAAGATCCAAGGGCAGAGGAGGTGAGGGAGAAAGATATTTTTGTCTGAGTGAGCTGCGCTGGTGAGACCGTTCCACTGTGTTCTGCTATTCTCACCGTCTCAGCAAAGATTCCATCTCTGCTCGGCAGCTACTGAATAAACCCAGACCCCAGCTGGAGAGGAAGGAGCTGGAGAGGGAATGAAGCAGCTCCAAAGGCCGCTCTCGACCGGATTGTTAGAGGCATGGGAAGCGAGAAGAGCTGGGGGACACACGCTGTTCTCAAGGAACGAAAAGGCTGGCCCCAAAGGGGAGGTTTGACCAAACGTGGTCAGGTGCAGCAGGAGGAATTTCTATGAGAATTCAGGAGGGGGGATCCATCTGGTGGCTTTGGGAGCCACTGTTCGCAGGGCACGGTGCCTAATTTCCTACCCTGGAAAAGTTAGACACAGGGAGACTCTCCGAGACAAAGGTGATTCCTATATGAGATTCTAAATGGTGGAAGGTGACCATCTCTTTGTGGACGTCACAGGACACCCTCCTTTGCCGTGGAGGCAGGATCCCTGGAGAGCCTGGCCTCCCCGACGAGGTTTCTGTCTCTGATCTTCGGGGCGGGGTCTGACCTAACGCCTGATCGAACTCAGAATCCTGACGCCAAAGCTCACGTCTGCGTGGACTCGGGAAGAGCTTGCCACGTGGACACATCTGACAGCCCGAGGACAGCCGGTCTTCTCCTGCGCTCGTGAGCCAGAGGGGGCTCATGGGTTTCCAGGGGAACATGGCCAGCTAGGGGACATCAGGAGATGACACTGACTCAGCCACACCGGCTTTAAGGGTCCAATAAAAAAATGCCTCTTTTTTTTTGAGACAGAGTCTTACTTTGTTGCCCAGGCTAGAGTGCCGTGGTGTCAGCCTAGCTCACAGCAACCTCAAACTCCTGGGCTCAAGCAATCCTCCTGCCTCAGCCTCCTGAGTAACTAGGACTACAGGCATGCGCCACCATGCCCAGCTAATTTTTTCTATATATTTTTAGTTGGCCAATTACTTTCTTTCTATTTTTAGTAGAGATGGGGTCTCGCTCTTGCTCAGGCTGGTTTTGAACTCCTGACCATGAGCAATCCTCCCGTCTCGGCCTCCCAGAGAGCTAGGATTATAGGCGTGAGCCACCGCGCCCGGCCAAAAATGCCTGTTGACAATCTCCTGCCGGAGGATAGGTCAAGGTAGCTGACGACCCCCGTCCCTCCCCTCTGTCAAGTGCTGCGTGTTAGCAGACAGAGTTTAATGAATCAGATGCATGCGAGGACCTTTGCCAAAGACAGCTTTTAGGGGCAGCTGAACCCTACACTTTGCTGCTTTTGATTCTCAGAATTGAGAACCAGAGACTCATGGGGGCTGATTCTTGGTGGCATCTCGTCCACCTCTCTGGCTCTGGGAACGGCTGAGCGAACCACCCCAGAAGATGAGAAACACTCTTTGTCTAGCAGCATTTGATACCTTTCCCTGCCAGGAAATTTCTTCTGTAAGTCTAACCAAAATCCCCTGTGCAGTAGTTGGAGTTTTTCCTTCTTACCCAGTTCTCAGCCTAGCTGAGGATCTGGGCAGCTTTTGTTTCTCTAGTCTGCCTTAAAATTTCTCCCTCCAGAGTACTTTCTCCCTATAATTGGGCCTACCTTCCTTCCCTTGGCTCCTCTTCATTTCAGAAGCACGTGCGAACTATCCATGGTACGAAGTGAACCATCCCCATTCAAACGGATAATGAGTGACATCTATGAAGCACCGATACTGTGTCTAACACTGTACCGGGAACCACATACTGTTGTTTAATCTTCACAATAATATACCCATTTGGCAGATGAGAAAATTAAAGCTCTGAGACACTAAATGACTTGCCCAACACATCCCTCAATGGTATGTCCTGCACGCTGGATTTAACTCCAGGCAGTCTACCTTAGGGAGCACACTCTTGACCGCCTGGTCTCCTTGCCTGGGTGAGTCCTAAGTGGCAAAGTCACACTCTCGGACCAGCCTCCCCAGCCACTTAGCAGGTTGGGGGGCACCGGGCATATGTTCCGAGGACACCAACCCACTCCAGAAATCACCAGAACAAAATACAAGCATGGGGTGGTCCTACTGCCACAAAAGAGACATGCCGTATTTCAAAGCCAGAGAGAAGCACTGGGCATTTTTCATCGACGGTGTCTCTCTGTCCAGCTCTTTGCATTTAGGAGGGAAGACATCCTCCTTCCTTCCTTTGTACTCTCTATTTCTTGCCTCACTTTGGCTTTTGTATATTTTCCAGTAGCTTCATGCTTGGGTCAGCCCCGTTCTACCTTGGATTGAAGACAAGGGGTCTTCCACGTGAACTCTTGTAAGCTTTGCTTGGCTGCTGGGAACCTGGGTGGTTCCCATAACTCCCACCTGTTCTCTTATAATCATATCCACCACAGGTCACAGAGTGGTTTAAGTGGCTAGAATCGTGCACACTCACTCCACTGATAAAACCGCTGTATGTGCATGCTCCCCTGTGTCGTTTATCTTACATAAAGTGAGCAGCTTGGACCAGAAGGGACCTTCTGGCTCAGATACACTCCAGCTTTCAGAACACTTCCTACCCTAGGTTACCTGGAACCCAGTTTAGAAAAAGGCACATTCTGCCACCAGTGCTCTGGGGCTTTTGACACAACAGTGGTTGGCCCATTATCTTGAAAACAACGCGCAGAATCCAACAAAAGTCCCCTGCCTTCCTGGGGCAGTAAATCTCTTTGCAGAATCTCAGTGTGGTTCTAGCTGCTTGGAGCCGAGTTAGAGCCCTTGCCTCTTCTCCCTGGCTCTGGCGCCCCCTCATCCCGTCCCCCCGTCACCGATCATCGTTCATATCACACATCACAGCACAGCTGCTTCCTAGCTACGCGGGCCCACAGTGACGCCCTTGGGGACCTGCAGCCTCCGCTGCCCAGGCATAACTAATGGCGGGGCCGGCTGCCGAGCCAAAGCCAGCACATGGTGACTCTTCTGGCTGCTGAGGGAAAGTAAGACATTCTTGAGCCGCGGTGACGGGTGACTCAGGTGCGGAAACAGCCAATTACCCTATTAATCAGACTGAGCAGCCAGTTGTGCGGTGAGTTATGAATATGCCTCGCTGTAACTGCTCCCCACCTGGCAGGCGGGGCCTGCTGGGCGCTGGGTCTGCACGTGCTACCAGAGGAGAGAGGAGGCACAGGCGAGAGTCCACCTTCATTTTACACTTACCTTCAAAGACAACTCAGGGCTGGACCCTCACCCTTATTTCCAAGATGAATTTATTTTATTTTGTTAGAGACAGGGTCTCACTTTGTGGCCCAAGGCTGGAGTGCAGTGGCACGATCATAGCTGCCTGTAACCTCGAACTCCTGGGCTCAAGCGATCCTCCTGCCTCAGCCTCCCAAGTACCTGGGACTACAGGCATGCGCCACCATGCCCGGCTAGCTTCTAAATTTTCTGTAGAGATGAGGTCTTGCTATGTTGCCAGGCTGGTCTCGAGCTCCTGGCCTCAAACAATCCTCCCTCCTCAACCTCTCAAAGTGCTGGGGTTACAGGTGTGAGCCACCATGCCTGGCCCCCTAAATGGGTTTTAAAGAGACACGGGACATCACTGTGAAATGTGATACTCAGGTATTCCCAGTAACTAAGGCTAGATTACAAAGCAGGCAGTTCCTATCCAGACACTTAAGAGCTAACTAAACACACGCTTAACCGCTTTCTGTGTTTCCTCTTCCAATAGGAACCACACTTCCTGTTTCCTCCTCACTGTGGGAACTCACCTATTCTCAGCTATTCTCCATCCATCCACCACGAATCCCTAAGCTTCTACTTTTCAAGAAGCTCTTTTGGAGTCCTACCCTGGGTCAAAGAACTTGTGGAGGATTCGCCACCTTGGGGCGCGCACGTTGGAGGAGACCACACCACCGATGAGAGCCCTCCAGCCCCCACACTTCTGGCAGCCTTGTGTGGGTGTCAGCGGGGCACCCTGGCCAGGCCAGCTGTCGGACCTGCCCCCCAGCAGGAGTTAATGACACGGTGTCAGTCGGGTTAGGCAAACTGGGGTTAGGACAGGCAGGTTACTCCCAAGGTTACCGCGGCAACTCACCACTGTACATGTCAGGGTGGTTTCTTAAGGACGAGTCATTATAGGGGTTGTCTGCAATAAACAAAAGAGGGTGAGCGAACAGGAGGCCATGGAGAAGTCACAGAGGCATAAACGGGGACAGAAAAAACAGAAATTGCAAAGCCACAAAAAAACAGCCGAGGAGCACACCAGCGGTCTCTTGCAAAGGAAACAAGTGGCGTTTTGGGGAAGGAAATACGCTTGGTGAAGAACAAGCAACACAAAGCCCACGAGAGGGAAGAAAAAGGTTAAATCCTGCAAAAGAAGGCAATCACAAAGTAAGTTTCTTTGAAAATTAAAGAAATTAGGCTTGAACTTTAATTGCTTGCTCCTAGTACTATATGTTCAAACAAATGAGATAAGGATTAGTGGTATCCTGTAGGCTTCTTTTGAACAACTCCTTCTCATCAAAGTCCTCGGTTTCCAGGACCCTGGGTCAGGCCAGCTCTTGGGACAGCTAAAGAGAAAGGAGCGTCAGTGAGCGCTGGGGAACAGCAAAGTCCTGCCTGGGCAGAAGCTAAGCTGCAGGTGGGGGGCGGGAGGGAGACGATGAGTGGGGGAAGCCAGTCGTCAACAAAGAGAGTGGGACGCAGGGGCAAGCACCCCTCTGATCTGAACAGGTGGAGGAGGCTGGGAGTGGTCCGGCGAGGCAGGGAGAGCTCGGCTGAAGTTCAGGTTTTGGGATTTGGAAAGGGAGCCTGGGACAGGAGAAAGAAAGCATGAGCCATGTGTTCTACACTCTGGGCCAGGAAAGCTCTGCTGGCTGCGCTGGAGACTCAAGCTCCCTAGCCCGTGTGGGGATGAAGACATTCTGGCGTCAGGAGCGAGCTCAGTGGCTGCAGTGCCAATGTCAGGCAATTCAAACCCTTGGGCATTCCATCCTTAGCGAGGGAGACATTCTGGAATAGGACACATGATCATGCCAGCATCCTTAAGTAGCTTTTCGCTGTCTACCACCGGCCCTTCCAACCACTGGGTTCAAGTTTTGACACACCAACAAGGGCTGGGGGGGGGGGTGCTGTTGACTGGAAGCCAAGCAGACAGTCCCAGAAGCCCAGACCACGGCCCGACTGCGAGAGGGAGGAGAGGTGCTTTGCCAAAGCATTTGCATATTTGAAGACAGACCCATTCCTGGCACAACTAATTAATTGCAAGAGAGTATGTGGGTTCCTTTCTGGGACTGGCAGTGCGCTGCATCCTAAGTCTGCCCGACACCTGGTGGGAAGGTTTTCCTCATTCAGAACTCGCTCTTAAGAGGGGGTTTATGGTGAAAGACCTGGCCTGTTTGGGAGTCTGCTTGGGTCCGTCTGGAGCTAAAGGTGGGGGCGGATCCATCACGGAGTGAGGACGCAGGGTGGTGGCCTGGGGGGTGGGGTGGGGAGTGCAGCTGGGCTTGTGCGGCAACATTCTGCTCCTCTCCTGGGGATGCATGGTGGCATGCACAGGTGACAGGGCCCTTCTTTCATGCCCCCACACCGCCAAGGTGAAACGGAGCCCGTTTCCTTCCAGAGAAGTGACCCGTGCTCAGAACCGACCTCCCTGCTCGTGGGCTCTGGAGCACAGACGAGAAGTTCAGGGAGACGCTCTGACTCCTCTAAGACTGGTGCTTAGACACCAGAAGGAAGCAGGGGCAGTGCTCCCCTGTCTGCCTCGGGGAGAGCCCTCCTCTCTCACCTGCCTCTTGCCAGGAGGCACCAGGGAGGACCCACCCGGTACCTGAGGGCGAAATGGGACAGGTACCTCTTTGCTAGTCTGACTCCACTGTTTATCTCTGACTGCATCCCAAACAGATCTTAAAAATGATTCCAGATTATGCAGTATTTTATACTATATACCTTTATCCCTTTCCTTTAATGCAGGTAATAAAAAATTGGGCGTGACGAGATCTATTTCTTCCCCAACGAGCAAACCGCAGCAGGAGCACCTGGCGAGAACAGGGCTTTTGAAGCTGTCCCCGCTTGACTGCTTTGCCTCCTGCCACCAGGCCTGGTTCTGAAGGTTCGAGAGAAAGCCGTGTCCTTCCAGACAGGAAAGCAGACAGAGCACAACTGTGCTATTTTAAGCAACTGTGCCCAATTCTGGGCTGGGTCAGATGCCCAGCACTTGCTCCCAGCCAAAGCTGCCCCTGGGAGAACGTCAGGAAGCTGCCAGGGGTCTGCTTCGATCGCCTAGACGGTTTCTCGGCATTTGGAGGAAAGTTTTCAATAACAGGGAATGCAGAAATGAAGTGGAAACAACCATCTCCTACAGCCTCTGGTTGGGGAAAAAATGTTTCTGGAAAAGTCCAGCTCCTAAATGTTGCTTAAATCTCCAGCTACTTAATTCTACAGAGGAAGACTCTCCCCCCACCTCGATCTCCTGGCCTCTGCTCCACCCGAGTGATGGTCTCTGCCCAGCACGGCAGAAGGTCACTGACTCAGTTCCAGAAGCAGCAGGCTGCCTTCCGGCCTCGTGCGGGCGAGGAGAGAGGGGCCCAGGCGAGGACACCGAGGGGCGTCCAGGGTCAGCTCAGCGAGCACCTCGCTCTTCACGTCCCCGTTCCTCCCGCGGCCAGCCCTGCCAGCCCTGTCTTGGCTGCTGAGGCCACCGAGGTCCTGGGCAGAGCACAGTGTCCTCCCCAGCGAGGCCAGCTGGCAGGCGGTCACCTGATGTGCTCCATGGGGACCCTGCAGGCAAGCAACTTCCTTCTCCTGGGCGCCCTCCCCGGGCCTGGGTCAGGACTAAGGCAGCCAGGGACAGGGAGCGGGCAGCGACAGGCTGGGTCACCCTGCCAGGAGCACGTGGGGCTCGGGCAGGTTTCGGGCAATCCTGTCGGCTGTCACCTTAGGGGCAGCTCAACACCGACTCGGAACAGTGCGTGGGGACAGAGCAGAGGAAGGAGGGAGGTGGTCAGAGGAGGGTAAGAATGGAGTTCAAAGAAGGACCAGAAGAGTAGAGAGAGAGAAAAGAAGAAAGAAAGCAAGAGGGGGATAGAGAGGAAGGAAGGGAAACAGAAAAAGGAAGAAAATACAGAGAGAAAGGAAAAATAGGAGGGAAAAAGAAAACGTGAGAAGGGGAATGAAAAAGGAAGCTGCTTCCTCGAGGACCCGCCTTCTGTGCCGTGCTGGGAACGGAGTGTGGGGGCCGGGACCCCCGCCTCCATCCTCAGCAGGGATTGATGGAGGAGGAAAAGAACGCCGAGGGGTGTGGGCCCCCGCTTGTCCTGAGTGAGGAGTGACTCCCCCAAGCCGCTCCTGACCACACCCACCCAGGGGGGCTCCCAGAAGGTGGGGATCAGCCTCTTTTCTCCAACCCGTGGAAACTTCCAGCACCCACCTGGTGCTCTCTGCCTGCCCCGCCCCCATCCTCACTGTCCGCAGCATCGAAAACAACACTCGCAGCCCAAGTCAGACGGATTAAGATCTCTTTTGGGGGCTCCTCTGTGGAAGACACGCTACCAATCCACGGCACCAGTCCACGGTGCACACAACACAGACAACTCGCAACGTGCCGAGTGGGCTGCGGGTTCGCGGCGCCAGCTCCAGGCTGGCTCGTCCCCGCCAAGACGCGTGTCTCTGGCTAAGCCTCTCCCCCCTCCGTGGAGGGCCGGCAACAACAATGGGCCGGGAAATGCCGATTTGCTCTTATGCCAGCCACACAGAATCGGGGAATGGAAACGAAAGCAAACGAAACTAAAACATAAGTCTGCAACTTACAAACACAGTGATTCCATATGGTTCGGCATCTAACGTCCTACAGAACCGAACCGTATTGTGAGGTAGCCACGCAGCTGGATATTTGCCGCTATGGCTTGCTGCTAGAAATAAAGGCAGCCAAGCAATGGCTGGGAACAAAAGAGATCATCGAGCCGAGTCCTGCTCGGAATGCCAGATGAGCACGCACGTGAGTGGCCCTCAGACTCTGCTGTGCATCGGAATCACCTGGACAGCTAACCAGGAAGGAAGAGGACTAGGGCTGCCCAGGTAAGACAGCCAGGCCTGGGTGTGTCTGCCGAGTTCCAGTGTGAGTCTGACTGTCGCCACTGTTTGAGAGGCACTGACAACTGGACCAAGTTTGAGGTCAGCCTCAGGGACAAGTGTCCCCTCCCCCCCAGACTCACGTCCCCGGGGCTGCTTGGGCTCAGTGGGCTTCCTCCCCCTGGCGCCCAGCCCCGGGCAGGGGCCCGCACTTACTGGTGAGGACCTTGAGGGTGAAGGGGTTCTTCTGCTGGATGGTGTGGGTGAAGTGGAAGCGGGCGTTACAGCTGTAGTCGGTCTGCATGTCCTGCAGCATCACGTTGGAGAAGTACAGGTCTCCGCTGTGGCCCTGGGAGACGCGCTTGTCTTGGGTGATGGGCTCCATGGCTGCGAGGAAGCAGAGGTGCGCGGGGAGGTTAGCGGCAGTGACAACGGTCGCAGTCGCCACCATGCTCGGCCGACTGAGCACTCGCAGCAGGCCGGGTGGCGGCCAGGGACTTGACATTTTTTAGTCCCATCCTCTCAACTCTGAAGTCGGGCTTATTCCCATTTTACAGGTAAGAAAGCAGAGGATGTAAGGTGTCCGGGGTTGCCAAGGCAGCGCGGGGAGAGCAGGATTTTAGTTGCAGACCTGCCTGCTCAGCATGCCGCAACCACACTTTTTTTTCCCTGATTTCCTTCCCTTTCTTTCTTTTCTTCCTTCCTTCCTTCCTTTCCCTTCCCTCCCTCTCTCTCTCTTTCCTCCTCCCCTCCCCCCTTCCCTTCCTTCCTTCCTTCTTCCTTTCCTTTCCCTTTCTTTTCTTTTCTTTCTTCTAGAGATGGGGTCTCGCTCTTGCTCAGGCTGGTCTCAAACACCTGAGCTAAAGCGATCCTCCTGCCTCAGCCTCCCAGCGTGCTAGGGTTACAGGTGTGAGCCACAGTGCCCAGCAGGCCACACTTTTCTTAACCTGAGGCTTGAAGGCTGCATGTCTTGTGCAGGCAGGAGAGACGGGAGCCAAGAGGCTTGCAAGCAGCAGGAAGAGTGTGTGCTCAGGGCTAAGAGCACAGAGTCCGTTCAGGGGTCTGGGGGAAGGCTGGGAGAAGCAGGGGGACCAGATCAGGAGGGGGACTATATGCCAGGGAAAGGGGTCTGGACTTCTTTTAAGGTGATGGAGGAGCCCATGAAGGACTTTAAGCAGATGAGTGGAACTATCAGATTCACGTTTTCAGAAAGACCAGGGAGGCCTGTTGTGGACCACTGCTGTAACTGAAGGAAATAATGACGGTGGCCTGGGCTGGGGAGATGTCAGGGAGGATGGAAAGAGGAAGAGGGTCTGAGATCTGCTAGGGAGCGTGGATGCAACTTGGTGTCGAGTGTGACGTGGCATGGGAGAGGGAGTCTGAACCGTGAACTGGCACACTGAGCCGCCGGCCGGCAGCCGGGCAGCCTTCCCCACCACGTGCACCGTGACCGAGCACAAAGCCACCCTCAGAACAGCAGGACGGCTCATGACGCCGCCCCACGGACAGGGCAGCCTCTCTGGGAAGCAGGCTGGTGAGCACTCAGGGAGGGACAGCGTGACGGTGACAGGCAGGGGCACATAGAGACTGACACGCAGAGAGGCAGGCAGCAGGCCTCTGTTTACCTCCATCACGCCTCTCCTTTTATTTTAGTTGGAAATGTGAGGGGAAACTGAGGTCCAGAGAGGCTGAACGACACTCATGGCCACTGTGCACCTGCTTCTTACAAGTCAAGGTCTTCCAGCCTGGGCAACCCCCCCCCCCATTCAACACACTTGTCCCCTCTCCCTGAGATTAAACTACAAATAAACCGCCAGGTCCCCAGACTCACAGCTGCTCATCCAGAAGATGACCGGGGACGGAAGTCCGGGCGGCGGGTTGCACTGCAGCGTCAAGGGGGCGCCTTCTTGGACCACGACAGGGTCCAGGTTTTCCTTGGGCCACAGGGGAGATTCTGGGGAGAGGCAGACAGGGGGGATGGGGTGAGGGAGCCGCTGGGCCGGGGCGAGGAGCAGGGCCCGAGGCAGGCGTGCAAGGAGTGGGGGGTGACGGGCACGTGAGCCCACTCGAGGGCAGCCCTGCAGAGGCGGCAGCAGGAGGGCCTTTTGTCAGGCGGATTCGCACCTGCACAGGTGCCTCCTCCTGTCCCTTTCTCCTGTGCCCAGAGTGGGCAGGGTCGTCACCGCAGGCTCTGCTTCGGAAGTTTCCCTTCCCAGAAAACGTTCCGAGTCGGGGCAGATGCATGCAGAGCATCGAAGCACCTGCCGGCAAGGGCTGGGGAGGCCCTTCTGGAATGATCTACCACGGCCCCCCATCTACCCAGGAGCAGGTCGTGTGGGCCCCAGCTCATCTACTCACTAGACACCTGCAGGCGGATCCTGTTGGACAGGGCCGTGCCGAACTTGTTGCGGGCGAAGCACTGGTACTCGCCCTCGTACTCCTCCGGCCGCCCGCCACTGCGGAAGTCGATCACCAGGGTCCCGGACCGCCTCCTCATGGACACCCGGGGGTCCTTGGCGATGTTGAAGAACCTGCTGTTTCTCGTCCAGTGGAAGCTGTGGACGGCAGGGGCAGGGGCCACCGAGACCAATGGGCGCGATTCCCGCTCTCGGCCCCACCGCCACACCCCCACGCCAACGGGTCCCCGCCTGGCTCAGCACAAGGACCATCTGCGGAGCTTGGCAACACGCGAAGTCCAGGCCCCACCCAGGCGAACCTCCAGCCAAGGCCCCACGGGGTAGACACTCAAGTGGCCACTGTGGGACTATGTTCTCTAAGCACGTACTCGAGGCCTTGGCAGAGATTTCGATTTTTAAAATCCAGCTGCTCCTTTCCACCCCAGGATAATACCAACCTCCTACTGGGGATGTGAACGCAAATCCGTGTTTCACCCATCAGGGAGCCTAGCTCTGCTTCTCCTGCTCCCTGCATTTTATAGTCCACTCCGCAGCCAAAGTGGAGTGGCGTAGGTTATCCGTGCCCCTGCTCAGCCAGTGCAGATCGTAAAGCAGCGGCCACACGTTATAGCCTGCGGCAGGGGCAGCTCTTAAAGGAAAATCATCCCGCTAAAACAGAGCCCTGGGTGAAGTGCGCTAGAACGCCCCTCCGCTGCTCCCGGGAGGGTGTGTGAGGGCGTGTGTGTTTTTGCTACAACCAGAGCCTCACGTCCTCAGCTGCCCGTGATGTAACTGGTACAAAAAGGAAAAAGCAAAAGCAGCAGTAGCTGTTGGGTGTCACAGAATCATTGTCCTGCAAAGGAGCCACGGGAGAAAGGAGCCAACCTTGGACGCAAGGTCCCTGGGGCCCTGACCGGCCCTTCATGCTGACTCCACCTGCGGGCGGCGTCCCTGCAGGCTCCCGAGCTCACAGCCAGAGTGAGGCTGCCACCTACCTGCTCACTTCTCCTGCTGACAGACACACCCCAGATGGGGCACTGTCACGTCTGGGTTTGATTTACTTTATTTCTTAAATTTCAGCATAGTATGGGCAAATGTTTAGGTTATGTACATTGCCTTTGCCCCACACTAGTCAGAGCTTCAAGCGTGCCCATCCCCCAGACGGTGCGCACCGCACCCATTAGGTGTGAATATACCCATGCCCTCCTCCACTCCCATCTGCCCGACTGTCACTACTATATGTGCACATAAGTGTCGATCAGTTAATACCAATTTGATGGTGAGTACATGTAGTGCTTGTTTTTCCATTCTTGGGATACTTCACTTAGTAGAATGGGCTGCAGCTCTGTCCAGGATAATACAAGAGGTGCTAGATCACCATTGCTTTTTGTGGCTGAGTAGAACTCCATGGTATACATATACCACATTTTATTAATCCACTCATGTATTGATGGGCACTTGGGTTGTTTCCACATCTTTGCAATTGTGCTGCTATAAACATTCTACTGCAGATGTCTTTTTTATAGAGTGTCTTTTTTTCCTTTGGGTAGATGCCCAGTAATAGGATTACTGGATCAAACGGTAGTTCTACTTGTATCGCTTTAAGGTATCTCCACAGTGCTTTCCAGAGAGGTTGAACTAGTTTGCATTCCCACCAGCAATGTATGAGTGTTCTGATCTCTCTGCTTCCATGCCAGCCATTCATTGTTTTGGGACTTTTTGATAAAGGCCATTCTCACTGGAGATAAGTGGTATCTCATTGTGGTTTTGATTTGCATTTCCCTGATAATGAGAGACGTTGAACATTTGTTCATACATTTGCTGGCCATTAGTCTATCTTCTTTTGAAAAATTTCTGTTCACATCCTTTGCCCGCTTTTTGATAGGGTCGTTTGATTTTTTTTTCTTACTGATTTTCCTGGGTTCTATACAGATTCTAGTTATCAGCCCTTTATGGCATGTCACGTCTGGGTTTGAATCCTGCATGAGGCTCCTGAAAGGGCCGGTCTGTGGGTGCTACTTTGAGGATGGGGACAGGTGACACCTGCAGTAGCTCCAATGCTTATCATTTGGCAGACACAAACTTGGCCTTGCAGGCCTGGGTTTCAGTCTGGGTTCTGCCCCCTTTCAAGCCAGGGGACTTTGGAAAAGGGACTTAAAACCTCTGCGCTCTGTTTCACCCCGTCTTCACGAGGACATCGGTTCTTCCCCAGAGGGCAGGTGGGTGGCTGAACACGACAATGTCAGTGACAGCTCCTCACACCAGCCTGGACAGAGCAGCTTCTGACCCACGTCCGCTGATATGTCATTTAGCCTCCACGAGCATACAGACCCGAGCTGGCTGGGAAGAACAACTTCCTACAAGCTAACCACGGGGCGGGTGGTGGGAACATAGGCAGGGCAAAGAACGTTACACTGCAAGCCAGGAAACTTGATATCAAGTCCTGGCTCTTGGCGTGAACCTAAGCCACTTAAGTTTTTGGCCCTCGCTTTCCTTATCGGCTAAATTTCCTCGTTACCTAAATTGTACCTTCCGCCTAGTGGGTGCCTAGTGGGTGCTGGCCGAATGGATGAATCTGATTTCTCAGCTGCCTTATCCACCACCAGACCCCAGGGGCGAGGGCTGGGGCCTCCCATGGCCTCTTTGGAGGCCCCTTTCCCTCCACTCACCTGGGGGCAGGGTTCCCCTTGGCTTCACACTCGATCAGGATGTTATCGCGGGGGTCCACGATGTGGTCCTTCACCGACTGCTTGGTGATGGTCGGCGGCTGGGTCACTGCAACAGTGACACGTGGGCGGTCAGCGCTGCGGGCCCCGCCCGGCCCTGCTTGGGGAACGGCCGAGCTTGAGAGCTTCAGGGGCCGTGCATGCGAGCAGGCAAGCGGGGCTGAACAGGGCCCCGGTCCAGAGACCCCACTTCTTAAATGGGGCCACAGGAGAGGAGGAGGGTGTCAAAGGCTAGGCATAAGAAGGATCCCTTAGGAAGATCCCACACTCTCCCTAGGAGAGATGGAAGGCTAGGCTTTTGTTTTGCCTATTCTTACATTCCATTGCTTAGCACAACTCACAGCAGTCCTTGATAAATGTTTGTTGAATGAATAGAGGAACAAAAGCAGCTACATTTCCAGAACTTAGGGGTCATGGTGGTTCAGAGCCCTAGAGACTCGAGAGATGGCCAGACTATGGGGAGGCCAGGGCAGAGAGAGGCTTTAGCCCCTGAGAACTTCCCAGGGACTCGTCTGCAGGTCAAGGAGCCAGATCCCCTCATTCCAGGTCCTGAGCTCCGGCGTTCCACCCTGGGCCCTGCGCCTGCCACCCAAGGATGGGGCAGCGGCAGCAGCAGCTGTGGGGCACCCCAGCTTCCATTCTAACACCCTCCTCTCTCACCACCTGCTCCTCCGCCTTCCCCAGCAGCGGGGTGCTGTGGGAAGCCTCTTCCCTTCCTGTGTCGTAAGCAACCCTGCTCCAGGGCGCTGGCGTCCAGCAAGCCCAGCAGGAGTCCCAGCAGGCCCGGCAGAGAGGCCACTGACGCCCAGGCATCTCCTCACCCCTCCTCCTCCCTCCCGCCTCCCAGAGGCACAGGTGCAGAGAGGCGCGCGGGGCACTTACGCTCATTCTGAATGCTTGCTGTTAGTTCCACGATGGGTTAGCATTGTGGGGGAGAGAAGAAGAACACGGTTATCGCACGGTGCCGTGCAGGGCTCCCCTCCCCACTGCACGGCTCAGTGAGAGGGCCTAGCAGGGTCGGGGAACAGACCCCGCAAGTGCTTCGTGGAGGAGGTGACGCCTCCCCCGGGAGACCAACACTCAACAGTGGAGCAGAAAGAGTAGCTTCCGATCAAAGGAAGGTATCGCCGGGGAAGTCCACGTGTGCAAAGTGACAGTGCTGCACAAAGGAGGGTGTGAGGGCGCTTCCTGCCACCTGATGCCATGGAGCAAACGGGCTTGGTGCAAGGGGGAGGCTGAGGGCAAGACCGGGGTGCCAGGCAGGGGCAGATCTGAGCCCCTGCTGCAAGGCAGAGCTCCCAGGCCTCACTTCCCCTACTACACCTCCTTCCCTGCCACACACGAAAGCTCCCTCGCTCCTCACCATCTCCTCCCTTCCGTCCTTTGGAAGGCTCTAGGGAGAGGTGGACTGGTGTTGCCCTATTCAGGGTACACTGCATACGGGAATCCCACTCCTCAACGCGAGACTCCGGGGAAGGAGCACAGCCGACTGCCGCTTTCTGCGCTTTTCACGAAGGGGGGAAGAGGCGGGCGGCACAGATATTGTCCAGCGTTCAGCTGAAACGTGCATGTGCTCACACAGGTGTGCACCTGTGCAGGTGTGCGCACGCGTTTGGGGTCAGAGCTTTTCAAGCTGTAACAAGCCCATGCACAGCCCGGAATCTGGGTAAGACGCAGGCTCTGACTCACTGGGTCTGGAATTCTGCATTTCTTTTCTTTTCTTTTTTTTTTTTTTGAGACAGAGTCTCCCTTTGTTGCCCAGGCTAGAGTGAGTGCCGTGGCGTCAGCCTACCTCACAGTAACCTCAAACTCCTGGGCTCAAGCGATCCTCCTGCCTCAGCCTCCCGAGTAGCTGGGACTACAGGCATGCGCCACCATGCCAAGCTGATATTTTCTAGATGTATTTTTAGTTGGCCAATTAATTTCTTTCTATTTATAGTAGAGACGGGGTCTCGCTCTTGCTCAGGCTGGTTTCGAACTCCTGACCTCGAGCAATCCGCCCGCCTCGGCCTCCCAGAGCGCTAAGATGACAGGCGTGAGCCACCCCGCCCGGCAGATTCTGCATTTCTGACAAGCGCCTCGGTGCTGCCGGCGCTGGTGGTGCGTGCACCGTGCTCGGGATGATAACGGGGTTCTGGGTGGCGAGTCCTTTGGGGGGAGAAGGTCTTCGCTAAAATCTGTCTGCAGAAAAGAGAACACGTGTTGTCGTAACTTTTAAAAACGTCTTTCCCGATCACGTCAGGAAGCAGCGTGGCGCCCTCATTTCACGCCGGCACAGCGGGTGTGCGGGCTCCGCAGGCTGACTCTTCGGAGTGAGGGCGTCCTGCAGGGAGCGGGGGGCTGCCAGCATCAGGGCAGGGCGTGGTGACCCCGACGGCTTCCAACCTCACTGCAGTGAGATGCGGAGGAGGACGCAGGGGCTCAGAGAGGACAGCTGGGAACAGCAGCGTTAACCAGGACCAGGAGATGCAGGAAGAGGGACAGAGAGGAGGGTGCAGGGTAGCAGGACGTGCGCCCGGCCATACACGCCGTCAGTAAAGGGAAGTCTCGAGAGGGACACCCGGAAAAGGTCCAAAATACTTCACTCAAGCGGGCCCCAGAGCGCGGGAGAGATGCTTTGCTTCACCGTCTGCCCAGGGCTGCCTGGGCAAGAAACCCAAAAGAGTGAGAAGTCCAGCGAAAAAGCAAAAACCGATGGCTTCTGAACACAAACCCCTGGAGCTGCCACTGTGGCATCTTTGTCCACATGTGATTTTCCAGCAGGGCCCCAAGAAAGATAATCCTGGAGAGACAAAGCCAGCGCGGCTGGGCACAGGGGTGGGGTGGGGTGCAAAGAAAGCGCCGTTCTCCGGGGAGGCGGGGCCGACACTGGAGCCTGCTCCTTGGAACCCCGAGTCCAGGCCCCCGGCTTCTTCGTTCAGGACACAGTTGCTACCTTCGGGGTCTCACCCCAGCCGGGGAGGCTGACAACAGACTCCTTGGAGCCCACGTGGCCGTCAAGCCTCTCTCTCATAGAGTCAGAGGCTGGTCCAATGCAAAGAGCCCGGACATCGCCCGGGGAGCCAAGGGAAGGAAGTCGCGCGGCTAAGATCGCACAGGCGGTGCGCTGCAGAGCTGGCGTGGGAACCAGCTCTCCCGGCGCCTGGGCCGGAGCCCTTCTTACAAATGCGTCCTTGGCCAGAGCCGGGCAGGGCCTCAGGCCTCTGTTCTCCTTGACGTGTTGCACAAAGGTGAGCGAGAGGTAAGACGGTGGGTGCCGGAGACTCAGGGCAGGCAGAGCTGGCTGGGTGCTGTGCCCAGCCCCACTCTGACCGCCAGGAGAACGTGCCTGTCTAAAGGAGTAACGGCATCTGCGGCCACCACTGTGCCACCAAGGGGCAGGATCAGCCCAGGAGACCAGCCGCCACAGGGAGACGGCGGTGGGGGCAGCCTGTCTAGGGACGAGGACGACCAAGCTCCTACCCAGCGTCACACCACCTGCCTTGTCTCCCCCTTTGGAACTTGCAGTGTGACGCTGTCCAGCGGAGGATGCATGTGCTCTTCTGGCTTCCAAGGGGCAGGAAAAGGCCCCGACCAGGCTCTGCAGGCGTGAGGCAGCGGCCTGCCCCGCCGCCAGGTGTCTTCACTCACACGCCTCTTTTCTGTCCCTGCTCTGACACTCACGACCTCTGGCACCTGTCCCGCCCCTCAGAGGAGTGCCTGCGAGCTGAGGCCACTGGGCAGCAGTATTCAGGAGGGAGGTGGGGAGCAAGTGTCTCTCCGCTCCCCTGCTCTCCTCTGCGGGTCTCTGGGAGAAAACTGCTGAGTCTCCTCAATGCCGGGAGGACAGAGACCGGCAGACTCGCTGTCTGGCAAACCCACTCTGGCGGATGCGGTGGCGACCCTTTGCTTTTTCAAAGGTCCTGTTCTCCTTGGGCCGGGAGGGAGGGGTGTGTGCAACTCCCTCCGTTGGCAAAGCGGCGGGAGCTGAGGCCGGGCCTGCCGGGAGGGATTGTGCAGGAGCCCAGGCTCTGTCCTAGGGAGCCTGCTGTCCCACACTACCCAGGCAGCAACGACGCCCCTGCCCTCGAGGCACCAATAACGCCCCAAGGGCAAGTGAGCAGAAGCCACGCCTGGCAGGCCTGACCTCCCAGCCAACACCGAGAATGCCTGATCTGTCCCCGGCCTGGGGTGACACAGAGGTCTGTCATGCTGGTCCCGGCAGGAGGAAGAGACCTGTTGAAAAGAACCTCCTCCCAGGGTGACTGGGGCCTCTCTGAAGGGCTTGCCTCTCTGCTGTCCTGTGTTCGGCTTCTGCAGACTTTGGGACACGTTGCTGTGGCCACCGTGTCTGCAGCCACCAGGGAGGTGCAGTGTGTGCGGCTCGCTCCCGGCAGCCTGGGCCTCCTGCCCCGACTCGGACTGGTGTCGCAGAAGGACTCGCCTCCCCATCAGAGAGGTGCTGTGGTCACATCCTGGCTCTGCCACTTACCTGTTTTCTAATCCGTAAGCTAAGGGCAACACCTCCCCCGTGGATCAGCCGTGACAAACACGAGCAACGAGACACGTGCGGCACTTCGCGCTCTGCCCGGCACTCGTCGGCTGCAATCCCAGTGAGTTCCAAGAAGGACTAAAGGCAGTGGGACGAGGAGGGAGGCGCGGGGCACGTCAGCTGCCAAACTGGGGGCGTTAAGAGACCTGGGTTCTCTCTGACTCCATCACCCGCTTGCAGCGTGACCCTGAGCTGGCAAAGGCTTGGGTTTCCGTGAGTACAGCGTGGACGGGCTGGAGGTGGGTCCTCCCGGCCCTCCTAAGGGACACTGGAAAGGGGGGAGGGTGGCGGTGAGGTCAGGGCACTCTCGGCTCGCTGCACCTTGGTGGTACCCTGGAGAGCCCGACTGCTCCGGGTCCTGCCGTGTCCCTGTGTCCAGCAGGTTTAGAAATCCCAATGCTGAACCCGGACGCCAAAGCCATCTATTCATGGGCCCACTGTGCGGGAGCCCCTTACTCGCTGGCCCGGGGATCCAAGTGGCGGCTGAGTGAGGGAGCGTAAGCGGCAGAAGAGAAATGAGCCTTCGCCACTTCCCTGATAACCCAATTTCCTCTGCGCCCGCCTCCTCTCCGGGGACTCGGCCTTACTACGCTCCTTATTAGAGCGTCTGCCTGGGACTGTTAATGAGAAACTCTCCTTGAGCCAGACCAGCAGACGGTAGCCATGGGAACAGTTCCTTTCACCACTCGCCTCGCCTTCCTCCTGGTACACGCGCACACGCGGTGCATGCGCACACACGCAAGCCCCCATACCTGGAGCGGTCAGTGGGGCGGCAGGGCCCGCCCACCTTGCCTCTGGGTGTGACGGACAGTTGCTACAGGCCTCCTCTGGGGCGGCCGCTATTGGCGAAGTGGCGTGCGAGGAGGGCTGAGACACCTGTGACTCTTTTCCCAACCACGCTGACTCCAGCACCACGGGCCTGGCTTTGGAGAGCTCAGTGGGGACTTCGTGGAGTCTGCACTACCCTCCCAGCCGCCCCGCCCCCCCAGACATCCGTCAACCGAGAGGGCCCAAGCCAATGCTGGCATCACGTGGGTCCCATCTATTCCCTGATGCAGGGAACAGGGGCCGGAGGTAATGAGCCCACCTCTTAGCACCGGGATGCCAGGACTGCCCGGCAGCAGTGTCAGGACCACGGCAAAGGTGGCCAAGCAACACGGCTGCCAACCCACGGGCCGTCTGTGACCTGGCAACAGAGACGGCTGGTGGAGACACGGCTGACAGCTCAGCATTGTGAGCCCCTTACTTTATGATTCTGATGGCCAGATAACGCCCCAGCCATGGGAAACAGATTGACAGGGCTTTTACTTTTCATCTTTATTATGGGAGAGTCGAAAATGAACAGAAGGAATCCGTGCCTGGTTCTCCCATGGAGGCATCATAATGGGGTAGTGCTTCAATGTCTCCTTCAGCCATGTCTTTTGCAAGGATGATTCCCCTCCCAGCCCTTCCCAGGCCATCATTCCTCCCGATTAATCCAGCGGGGAGGGCCGGAGGGTGCAGTTTTAGATAGATCAGATGTTAGAAAGGTAAGTAAGAACAGCCCACCACACCTGACCCTGGAAGCTGCTTCTATGGACGGTGGGGGCAGAGGGACAAAGTCCAAGTGGCACTCAGAATTCCAAGCCCTGCCACCTCTGGTCCTGCCCAGCACCGGCTCAGCCACAGCCGAGAGCCCAGCCCTGTGGCGTGTCGGCTCAGCTTGCCAAACACGAGCCTGCACCAGTTCTCCAGAAAGAAACCCTGTTGTGGATCTCAGAATCCACTGCTGCCCCTCCCCAACCTTCTCTGGAGGATCTTAACTCTCCCCAGCTCCCCTCCCCCTCCTCTGCCCAAAACCAGGAGTGAAAGAGAAGAGGATGGAGCAGGACTCACGATCCATAGGAATCTCGATGGCTCCGCCGAGGCCGAGGAGGCAGAGGAGGAAGGCTGGGTGCACCCAGGGCGGCGGCTGCTGCCTGGCCATCCTCAGCGCCGGGCCCCGCTCCCGGCTGCCCAGCCCTCGGGGTCTTGCTGCCGCCAGCCGCTTTAACAGGGCCTCGGGGCCTTGGGGACAGAGCTCAGCTGGGGAAAGAAACACAACAGCAAGTGAGTTGGGCTTGAACATTGCTCTCGCAATCCTACAGGGCCTTAGGGGATGCAAGGGTCCCCTCGGTCACAGAAGAACGTTCTAGAATGGGGTTTCTTAACCCCAACACTATTGACATTTGGGACTGAGCAATTCTCGGCATGGGAAACTGTCTTATGCATGGTAGGACGGTTAGCAGCGTCCCTAGCCTGTACCCGCTAGATGCTAGTGGAGCTCACCCCTCTGCCACCACCAATCAAAAATGTCTCTAGAGGTTGCCAACTGTCCCCTGTTAGGCAAAACCACCCTCAGTTGAGAGCCACTGTCACAGCAGAAAGGGCAGCTCTGCATAGAACAGTCAAACACTGGCCCGCTGGCCTGCAGGGCCAGCATCCGGAAGATGCCATGAGCTGAGCGGGTAAGACATGTGCCAGTCTCACAGCCTCTCTGAAACATGTGTGTAGAGCGTGCCTGGGGCCGAGCGTGTTTGGGGCAGGGGCACAGAGAGATCACACCCATGTCCTTGGGTCCCAGGGTGACGGGGGCAGGGTGATGTTGCCAGCCCTGGGGATCATGGGTAAGCGAGGTAAAAACTTGGCTGCCCAAAGGACTTTATTTTTTATTAACGACTTTTGCAACTATGTTGTACACCTAAGGTGCAGTGGCCCCTGACGTTGCCCCTTTATAGATAATGGCAGTGGTGAGACAGAGACCCAGAAGAAGCGGGCCTCAGGTGGTCGGCAGAATGAGCAGCAGTTATGACAGCCCAAAGCGCACATGCTAAAGCACAAGAAATCAACCCAGGGCTTACAGGGATGGGGTTAAGAAGCCTGGAATGGATCCTTAAGAGACAAATCCTTCTTCTTCCCCCTCTCCCCAGAGAGAAGAGCAAGAAGCGCCTGCAGCTGAGACTCAAATACTGAGCTTCAAGATGACCCAAGGCTCTGAAACATGGAGTCTTAAAAATTGGTCCAGTTTGCTGTTCCACCTTGGTGCCCAGCCAAAGAGAAAGGCAGGAGGAGCTGCCCTTGAACTCCTCCAGCTTCCCTGGACTAGACAGCTACCTATCCAATGGACATACCATTCTGCAGTTGTATCTGGCAGCCACTTGAAGCTGACTCTCAGCTGGGCACACCCGCCACCTCCCCTCCACTCTGACTGAGGGTGCAGAGGGCAGGGACGGGGCCGCGGGGCTTGCAGTAGTATGGGAGGGCAACAGATCCAAAGCCGCCTATCTGGAGACCTGGAGCAAAATGCAGGTCACCCACTGATCACTGTGAAGCATGAGTGGCCAGAGTACGGGGCAAGCTAAAGGACGTTCTGATTCACATCATAGCAGTGTTTCTCCCTGGATCTGCCCCCAGCCTCATGTGTATCTCTGGGCTCCATCCACTTGCCTCCTCCCTTCCCGCTGGCACCACTTTGGTTTTGGTGGCCATCGTTTCACACCAGAGCGACTGCGACAGCTTCCTGAGTGGTCTCTCTGCTCCCATTCTTTTTCCCCCCTGCAGTATTCTTTTTTGCTTTTATTATTTTTAATTGATACATAATAATCCTGCATGTTAATGGAGCGCCGTGTGATATTTTCTGCATCCACTCTCTTGCCCCTGTGACTCCCTCTTCACCCAGGACCAGAGCCTGTTATCTCTCAGGGGCGAACGTAGACATGTCAGTCCCCTTAGTCCAACCCTCCATAGCTCCCTGCTGCTTAGGAGTTAGAGGCAGCGTCCTCGCGTGGCTCAGAGGCCCTGCAGGGTGTGCCCCCTGTGCCATCTCGGCTCTCACCGCCCCCTCGCGCCCTGTGTTCCAGCAACCCTGCTCTTCTCCCAGGTCCGTCCATGCACCACGCTCTGACTTCTGCACAGATCAACCTCTGCCTAGAAAGCTCCGAGTCTGCCCTCTCTCGTTAGGACTTGACTCACACGTCCCTGGTCTGCGCTCCTGCACAGCCTTACTCTCCCCATCCCGACGCTTTTCACTTTGTATTTACTCCAAAAGCCACTTGTCTGTCTGTCTCCCCTATAAAAACAAAGACTCTATAATGGGAAGTGCCCTGTCTTATTATTCTACTCCTAGAATACTATCACAGTACCTAAAGCATAGCAGGCCCTCAAAAATATGTGATGGGTGGATGTACGGATGGATGGAAAAAAATGAACAAGTTAAGGCACTGGCTTTGCACTGGCTTGCTTTTTTCTCATCATCCACTCAACATTATCCACACTCGACATCAGAGTGCAAAGAGTCAATGCCTGTCAATGCCTGAATGAACAAAGTAAGAAGACAATTGGATTATGTTTTTAAAAACTCACGTTTCCCCAGAAAACCACCAGGAGGCGCAGGAGAGCACCTGCTGTGGACCGGGGTTGCATACTGCCAGGGCTACTAATTAGTAGAAGGACAAAACTCCCGTCCTACACAGATGCTGCATTCTGGCTAGGAAACCGACCAGTTGGAAGAGGGTTAAGAGAGTAGAAAGTCTCCCAAGCAGGGACCCTTGGGCTAGAAGGCATCACAGGAGGGCTTTGGTTCTTCTTCCTAACTCTCTGAGACGGTCCTCACACTGTTCCGAAAAGAGCCAGGCAATGCCCGCTCCTTGGCTCATACGCCTCCAGGGACCAGACTCCGACCATCCAGCCAAAAGTTGGAGGGAACTGTGCTAGGGGAAGGCTCAGCGTCCCTCCAACGGTGACGGCTCCATCTTGGCTCTGTGACCACCGTGTCTGGTTTATGAGCTGCCAAGCCGTAGGAAGCAATGCGAAAGGGAAGAAATATTTAATTTGGGGAATCTTGATGGAACTAGGAAGCCAGAAGCGATTCATTAAACCAGAAACACACTGGCAAGAAAAAAACCCCGATCGTTTGGGACATGTTTAAACTCACAATTTAACAACACAGCAGAAAAGGAATATTGAGATAATCACGTTTAGCTGTCTAACAATGCTCTCCCTCCTGTACTCTCTGGAACCCAGTATTTTCCAACAAAATCTTAGAAGAAGAATTTAAAGATCACTTAGCTTTATATAATCTCCTTTCATTTGAGATGAGGAAACAAAAGCCCAGAGAAGGGGAAGCGAGGACTTGCTCAAGGTTACCGGGCTGGTTGGTGGCAAAGCTAGAAAACAAACCCAGGTTTCTTGACTCCTAAGCCCAGGGCTTCTCCACCCACTTCCCTTGCCTTTTTATATACATGAAAGTACCAGAGCGAGGTTGCTATTTTTAAAATAAATGTGTAATTTGGCAGTTCCTCAAAAAAGTTAAACATAAAATTGCCATATTACTCTGCAATTCTACTCCTAGGTATATGTCCAGGAGAATTAAAAACAGGTACTCAAACAAGTGCATGGGCACACGTGTTCATGGCAGCATCATTCACAGTAGCCAAAAGGTGGTAGCAGCCCAAACGTCCATAAACAGATTTTAGTATCTACACACCATGAAATGCTATTCAGTCATAAGAATGAAAGAAACACTGATACATGCTACAATGAGGATGAACCCCCAAAATTATGCTCAGTGAAAGAACTCATACACACAAAAGGTCACGTGTTGAACGATCCCGTAGATAAACTTCATGTAAGAAATGTCCAAGGCCAGGAGAGGTGGCTCACACCTGTACTCCTAGCACTCTGGGAGGCTGAAGTGGGAGGATCACTTGAGGCCAGGAGTTTGAGACCAGCCTTAGCAAGAGCATGACTCTGTCTCTACAAAAAATAGAACAATTAGCCAGGTGCAGTGGCGAGTGCCGGTAGTCCCAGCTACTCGGGAGGCTGAGGCAGGAGGATTGCTTGAGCCCAGAGTTCGAGGTTGCTGTGAACTATGATGATGCCACTGCACTCTAGCCCAGGTGACAGAGTGAGACTCTGTCTCAAAAAAATAAAATAAAATAAATGTCTGGAAATAGTAGATATATGTGGACAACACAGATTGGTGGTGACCGGAGGCAGAGGGAAAGGGCGAATGGGGAGTAACCGTGTGCTGAGTGTGGGGTTTTTCCCTTGGGGATGATGCAAATGTTTTGGAGCAAGATAGAGGTGGTGGCTGCACACATTGTGCCTGTCCTAAATGCTACTGAATGGTGCACTTTAAAATGGTTTAGTTTATGTCATGTGAGTTTCACGTCAATAAAAAAGGTGTCATGTTGGTGTCTGCAATAGGCTCATAAAGGTAAAAGAGCAGAGATGAGGGGGGCAGGGTATTCCACACGAGCACACAGGGGCCTCCGCTCCCCGGGCCAGGCTCGCTCAGCTTGGAAGACTGGAGTGCAGTTTGCCACCGTCCTGCACATCCCGATGAAATTCCCATCCAAGTCAAAGGAAAGGGAGAGTCCACCATCCGCCCGGGCAAGGGGGTTCTAGCGCTGAGCTCGAAGGGCCCAGTGTGGGTGAGGGTGGGCGGCCCATGCCGGCAAGGCTTGCAGTCCCCCTCCCCAATAGCCAGGGTAAGGGGGCAAAGGGCAGGGGTCGCTCGCCTGTGCCGGTCAAGCTCACAGTGACCTCGAGGTCCTGCTCTGCAGCCCAGCCACGCCCTGGCTCAGGGTCCTCTGCCAGCCCTTCCCTCAACACAAGAGGTGACCACTGAGGCCGAGAAAAGTGTTAATACAACGCTCAGGTGGGGGGTGGGGTGGCGGGCTCTGGTGAGACCACCCTGGGGAGGGTGAGGAACCTGCCACGTCCTACGGGGGAACGTGGAGGGGAGAGAGGCAGGGCCGAAGGAGAAGGGCCACCGTGCCCGTCTTCACGTGCCGCAGGAGAGCGTAGAATTGTCCTGTTTAACTCCACGGGGGCGAAACCAGCACCAAATAGGACATTTCAGAGGCGTGTGCTGCCCTGAGACATGGGGAAGGGTGGTCCCACACTCCATTCAGGGGAATTAAACATGCTACAGATGCAATGTTGTTTGAAGGATCCTTTTACTAACAGATCTAATCAAATAGGTAAGAGGTAGACTGTGAGGATATGAAATGCAGTACAGGAGCCCCACGGCTGGGGTGGAG